CGGACAACATTGAATCTATGCAAATACTGACAATGACCTAGCAACAGTCCATATAAAAGTGGACTGTGAATAGTTAGTAATAAGGGCAAGATCCGATAGTTGGTCGTCTATGCTCCTTCCCCTTCCACTTGACGATGATAACCAAATATATATATATATATATATATATATATATATAAGGACATGCTTTAGAGACATTCGTCATATTCTAAGACATTCTTTATCATTCTATTTCATACACGACCACGACTGTAAGGAAATAAACTCGTCTAAATTGTAAGCGTGTTGACTCCATTACACGGAATCCAACAATATAGACGAAAAGAAAAGCCGAAAGACGCAATGGCCTGAAAAGTCTTAAGAAACGTCTTAAATAGATCGAACGTCTTCAACCGTCTTCACCTGTCTTTTCATCCTGGTCATTTTCTCGTCGTCTTGATCGAGCTTTATCGACGAAATAGTAACAAGTACAACGGAACGTACGAGAAACTCAAAGACGAGAGAATTGAGAATTAAGATCAAGAGTGAACGCTTACGAAAATAAATCAACTTTCGATCCAACTGTCATTTTCAGCAACGTTCTTTTCGTTATTGGCTGCCTACGTACGTATACGTTACACGTTGTTTTACATTACACTTATAACACGTATTACACGTATTACCGTGTATCGTTAAATTCGTATAATACGTTACAATTCGTGTACAAGATTTAATAATAAAAATCAGAACGCTGGTTGTTAGCTCGATACCAACTCGGTCGATAGCGACTCGTGCAATAACCTTTCGAGAGAGAATCGAGCGTAAAGGGTTAATAATCGGGTGGCCGAACGTGCAGACACGTAGAGGAGCTATCGCGTGGTGATTGGCACGGCGCGAGCATTGCATTGAAATTCAAATTAAAATTATGGAATTATCCGGGAAGAAGCGAGGGGAACCGAGGAGAGAGAAGAGTCGGCGGCCAATTTTCGGGCAATTTCGTGAAGGGCCAACTCTGCCCCTTCCTCTCCTCCTTCCCTCGTCTTTCGCGTTTCGTGTCCAGGATCCTTTCGTGCCAGAGTTGTAGAGTGTCGACCGTAGAAGACCGTAGGCTGTAGACTGTAGACTGTAGACTGTAGATTGTAGACTGTAGACTGTAGACTGTAGACTGTAGACTGTAGACTGTAGACTGTAGAAAATAATGGGCCAGACAGGCCGGGTCCCGCGTCGTCGACGACCATATGGTCGCGTGGTAACAACGGCCCGGCCATGACCAACACCAAACAGCGAACAAGAACCGTCGCTGTCCAATAGCGAATATTTACGGTGACTTTGACATGTACCGACGCTTCTGCTCGCTATCGCTATCGCTATCGCTATCGATAGTTGGCCGGTGATCTGCTTCTCCTCGGTCTTCTTAGCCTTCTTCTTCTACTCTTCACTTCTAGAATCTTTCTATTTCTAGAAACGCGTCCAAACCCCCTAACTCTCGCCTAACTCTTCCCTCTTTCGCTTTTCCATTCCCTACTAAAAACTTTCTACTTCCCTTCTCACGCTCTTTATAATAAATTATCGACAAATTATTGCGATTGTAAACTGCACCCTGTAATGTGCCCCAAATATTGCATCAAAGTTGAACGCCACTGCATCCGCGATAAAACACGGCGTACCATCTGTTACGATTTTTTCGAAATTGTATCCGCATCGAATCAATCCAGGTATTCCTCCAAACCCTCCAAGAGAGGAACCTTAATTTTCGTTTAAAGGCCGGTCAAATCGATCGCCGAATCGCGTCTCGTTCGTCTCCACCCCCGCAACATTTTCGGCAGGCGGTCCAAGGGTATTTTTTCCCAAAGTCTTGAGAGATAAGTCTGGCCCGCGTGCCATATGTCGACCATCTCGGAATGGCCCATGGCCACGCGTTCTTTTCGAGGATCTGGAAAGGATCTCAGCGTGGTTGCGCACCGTGGTTACGCCGAATTTCCTACAGCCGAGATTCTTTCGGAAAGAAGCGACTCATGGAGGCTGAGCTGTTGCTATTGCAAGGGACGACAGACGGCGTGCGACTGTACCTTTCGATACTTTGCAACAACGATCGATTATCGGCCGATTTGAAACCGCCGATTCTTTTTGGTCAAACTAAACGTAAAATTTACGTCGGATTCCGCTTGTAAAAGGAACGATTGCGCTTGTAATTTTTAAAGGGTTTTATTAATCTACGTTGCAGCAACCATGGTGGCAAGGATGATGTTACAGTGCTAAACTCTAGTCTGTTTGATGGAAAAAGAGTGCTCCTCTCATCTCAGCGTCTTTCTATATGTTTGTTTATGGCAAATTCAACTACTGCAATTTACCTTGTGTCTGCACGTTTACTATAGAAGAGCTGTGACCAATCTGTGATATCAGCCAATATCGTCCGGCTTGGTTAGTCATCCATCGGCTTGGTTTGTCGACCATCTTTCAACTATGTAAATATCGTTCTCATTGCAAGTAATTCTTAGCTAGGGAATTTAGGTTAGCTCAAAGTCTCCAACATGCAGAAACGATGATAAATCGAAAATTCTGATAAATCGTAGTCTCCTTTTCTCCGACGACTTTACAATGACTTTGCTTTCGAACGAATGGCTTTTCAAACGTTCTTTTCTGCATACATACGTTGTTAATGCCAACTGTCAATGTTAATGTCGTCAAATTGGAATTTGAAAATAAACTTCGTCTCCGTGCACGAATTTCTCTTGATTTCTTCGCGAAAAATTGCACTAAAACTCCATTAAAAAACTCGGCAATAAAATGGCCGTTACTGTCGGAACGCGTTTCAGCTGCGCGTGGCCACGAGCGGCTGAAATTCTTCGGAATCCATAAATTCGGCGCCACGGTGAAAAACCTGCGGCCAAACCAACGTTGCACGCACCTTTATTATAAATCATAAAGATAATTACATCAAGAGTCGCCGTGCCAGCTCATTAGGTCGCAAAATATCGTGTCGCGTCGTTTTCTTTTTCGTTGGCCGTTCGACGGCTGAGAGAAAGATCCCCAAGGCTATCTAGTCGAGACAGAGGGGAAGCCGGCATAGAAAACAATTTCGACGGTGGATCCTGCTCGGGCCGCCTTAATTAGTTCTCCACCTGAGATTACCAATCGACAATTTCGGAATCACAGCGCAGCGCAGCGCAGCGCAACGCTGCGATTCCCAACATCGTCGTTTCCCTTCCGTCTCTCCATCTTCCTCTGCCCTCTTTCTCGCTCGTTTTTCCTTTCTTCTATCATCTAAAAAACTATATTTATACATCTCCCGTCACCTACATTACATTCCTCCTCCCCCTCCCGCCCACCACCATTCCCCTCCCCTGTCCCATAGAGTTGAATTTTTTAATCAAGCGTATTATAAAATATCGTAATAAATATCGAAACGACGATCGATCGTCGATCGTGATCGAACGAAACGAACAAGTTTGCGAAAACAAAGCATGCCGTGCCTGAAAAGAGACACGACGTACGCAGCCTAGCTTTTTTCCCAAAATTATTTTCCCTACGATTATTCGCACGATCGAAGAGATTTTCGTCGGCCCCTTAAATCGATCGGCCCCTGCAACCACGAGGTTCTGAAGAAACTGTTAAATCTATTACGCGATTGCCGATTACAAAGAGGTGTGCGTCGAAGGGAAAAAGGGAAAAAGGAGAGAGTTGAGGCAGATAAATGTGAGGAAAAGGAAAAGGAAAAGGGCAGAAGGGGAGAAGGAGGAAAGAAACGGAGATCGTTTTGTAGGCTCGGTGGGCCAGGTTACAGGTAGGTAGGTAGGTAGTCGACCCTCCTAGGTAGAATCGATCAAAAAATCAGAGGGCACACACACATATATAGTGTGTAGTTTCGGAGCAGTGTTGCAATGTGTAACGTTCTTTTTGTGCTCGCCAACTCGTTCACCGTGTTGTACGATTTGTCCTGTTCTGCGATTTTGTCGATTGTCTAACAAAAAAGGAGACTCGTGATTGAAAATGACAATTGGCAATTGGCAATTGGCAATTACATTTTGCCCCACCGTGATCGATTCTGACCATTTCTTCTTGTCGTTAAAAAGAGCTTAAAAAGAGCACTTGCTTAAACTTGCAACCAGCGTTAAAAGAAAATCGGTGGAACGATCAACTAGAAGAGACTAGAAATTTTAGACGACGCCAAGTCCTACGTTGAGAGTCTTCGGAACAGCAAATTTGTAAATTTCGACCAAAAGATTTAGTAAAATGCGTACAAGAAAGGTCGCAAAGCGCTGCCTGCAGAATCTTTTCCCGGCATTTTCCCGCTCTTATCGATTCCCGCTCTCACTCATTATCTGGAGGGGAACGATATTTTTCAAAATCACGAGTAAAATGCGGACACGTGGAAAAGTTGGAGTTGCTCTGTTACGATTCAATGAGCGAATTGACGCGGCTCTTTGACGCATGCCGCATCGTGAAACTCGCCACGCCCTATGATAATAGGGAGTTGCAACCTCAGATAAAAACAACCGTGGAAAAATCTACGAGCGTGACGAGAAATAATAGAAATAGACTTTGTGGAATTTCTTATCTCGAGAACGTTCGTCGGAGGAGCAACCTAACAATAAGAGAGGCGCAACAGCAACAAAGGCGGCTACATATAGTATGACCGGACCTAGACACGTTATCAGAATATTAATATTCGTCCCTTCAGCCGACTTTTCTGTTGCCGTCCGCCATCTCGGTGACAATCGATCGTCCAAAGTGGAAACGTGGAACAAGAAAAATCGGCATGTCGCTTCCAAGGAACGCTTTCCGATGCACGCCCGTGATAATTCTCCGAGGCATGTTCGCTTCAGATAGGCTAGCCGTCCTTTTCGGGACTCGAAAATTTCCAACTTTGCTTCGCCACTTACTCACTTGAGTATGCATGTACATACATACGTACGTACGTACGTACGTACGTACATACATACATACATACATGCACACGTGCCTATACCTACGTCGAGCTCGCTTCCTTCCGTTTAAAATTTACAATTAACGATTTACAATTGTTATTCCAATCTTGTCTATGCTTTTATTACTCGCCGTATCAATGTTATGTAAAAACTTAAAACTTCACAGTTTCACATTATGTGGCCTTCATATTTTCGCAACTGCAGGACAGAGTTTGCTTCTGAGAGATAAAAAGAAAATCTTACGCTACTTATCTTACCTGAAATTCACGCAAATACGTAAGTACTTTATCGTCACTGTCACAAAATCTAACGCTTTATCATTAAGCCAGTCATAAACGCGCCTCTATATAATACATTCGAAGTCATAATGAAATGATATTTTTAAATAGCGGACTCTTTCGAATAGAACCGATTTCTAATACTACATATCGTACTACGAACCTACATGTGTATGTCCGTGATACGAGTGAACGATGAAAATGACTGAGGAAATATACAAATACAAATACAGCTATACATATGTACATATGCATGTGGATCACGACTGGGTGCAAATTGGTGGGAAAAATGTCGCAATGCGATTGAAATTCGTAAAGTAAGTAAAGAGAAGAACAAAGAGGAAATGTCACTGATTGTGAGTCAATGTCGACGGTTGCCGGTTGTTGGCCTGGTTGTTACTCGCCGAGCTGGCTCGTTCCGTGGTCTTGTCTTTCGGCCGATCTGTCGCCTCGACGACCGCCACCGTCACCGCCGCCGCCGCCGTCGCCGCCGTTTCTTCCTCCCTTTCCAGATCGACGTAATAAACGTACCTTGCCGCGTAGCAGAGCAACAGCATCTCGATTAGCATCAAGGCATTGTAGGTAACTGAAATCGGACAGAAGAAAGTGGTCGTTTCTTTATCTGGAAAGCCGTTACTACGAGAGCCTCGTGCCCTTTCATCGTGCTCCGCTGCTGGTCGCAGACCAGTTGCACCGTTGCTCGTCCGAGGAGCACCGTTGAAATTTCAACATTTTCGTATTCCACGTTCTCGGCTCGTTCGTGTTCTTGGAGTTCTTTTCTCGACTTGAAACATCTCTCACGTTGCCAATCTCGCAATTCTTTCTTCCTTTTTAAAACGACTTAAGGCAAAAAGATTCAAAAGCTCAACGGATATTTCTTATTGTTGAATTCTCAAATTCTACGGGCGTAAACAAAGGGAGGAAAGAAAGAAAGAAAGAAAGAAAGAAAGAAAGAAAGAAAGAAAGAAAGAAAGAAAAAGAAAGGAAAGAAGAAAAGAAGAGTTACCATTGGCATAAATTTCCGGCGTAATTGGTGGATTGCATGGAAACAGGCCCGTTTGCGGTAGGCTTTTGACGAGGAACGCCTGCAGCTTCGAGAATAGCAGCACCATCTGGGACACTGTGGTCTTGCGGTGTAGCTTCGCCTCTATGAAATTAACAGCAGGTCAGAAGCGTAAGTGAACACCCATGAACACCATGGCAGCAAAGGACAATAGGACTTTCCAGAAGCTTGGAAATTGCTTCCGTTCGCAAGTCCCGTTTGCATGTGCAAACGGAATGTTTGACGCGATAATCGAAAACGTTGAAAGAAACAAATCGTTCTGTTCTTAATTTCATTTTCGTTCAGGTTAATGTCTTTCTCGTAACAGGCAACTGAACTTTTACGATCTTTTTTTAGAGGGACGCTTAATTAAGGACGCGTTATTATCGCATGTAATTAAAGAAATGTTTTATAAAAACATCGCCCTTCCTCTCGATAAAGCATACGCAATTTTTACCTGCAGCGATTTCTTGCAGACTTTTCACGGCAACAGTCAATCCGTATATTCCCAGAAATATGCTCGTCATTACGAACGGTTGCAGATAAATTCCATATTGCGTTATAAGGGTTGGCTCTTCGATCGACATAGAGAGAAATACGCAATAAATCAGTCCCTAGAACCAATAGACACGACATCGTCAATGCTGGAATTTACACGAAAAATATGCTCGAAAAAAGGCTCGAAAAAAAAGCGATCACGAGCACGGACGCAAAAAAGTCGAGGTAGAAAAGACGGAAATAACCTGGATAATGGGAAGTTGCAAGACTGCTAGCCGAAGCCAGGACAAATTAGCCTCGGTCATCTCAAGATTCGGAAAGGGCAGACAGGGCCAGCAGCAACAGGGGCCAACCTGTAGCTTCAACTGTGGCGTCTCTGCCATCTTTTTACGCCCTACGTAGACCAACAGCAAATACAATCGATACAAACCAATCGTTAGGAAGATTTGTGTCACAGCTTCTGACAGCAACTGAGTTCTAGAAATAATCGAAACGTTGCTTGTTAAAAACAGAAATGGAAAGTACTTTCTCTACAATTTCATCAATATCAAAAAAAAAAAAAAAAAAAAAATATATATATATATATACACACATATATATGTATGTATACACACACGTATGTATATACATATGCAGCCGTGTACGAATTATTTTTATTATCTTGTCCGCGACCCGGCGAGTGCCCAAATTTAAAATTTAGATTTTCCCCGACCAAATAGAAAATACGTTTGAAACACGTTGAAAACATCAATGAGCGAGCGATCAATTGGTGACGATGGAATTTTCGTGTCTGCCTCCGGTTATCGAGGGGACTCATCAAATTTCGGACACGACCGGCGACGACCCGATGGCGACGATGTGATACGACGGCGCGACACGGTTATCGGAGCAGCAATTATCTCAAAGGATCAACATCGTCATTCATTAGCTACGACTCAGGGTTGCTTTTCTATTTTATATGCTCGTTACATACATACATACACGTATCTATCGCGTCTTTTCTGTCTCATCTTTGTACGTTCTTATCTTATCTTGTAACATTTCAAGGTTTTCATTACTTTTAATCGTAAAGTTATTGTTGTAAACTTATATGTAATAGAGAATATTGCGTCGAATATTGTGAAACAAATTGAATGGAAGTATGCAGTTGCTTCTGTGAAGCTAAGTCGAAAAGTAAATGACAAGTAAAAACAACAACAAGAGTTTTTAATACTCTTTTATGAAAGAGACACTTGCGAGAAACAAGTTGAATTTGAAATTTTTCCAAGCATACGTGTACGTACGTATGTAGGTATATAAATACAACTACATATAAATCTAGAAATAATTTACACTGCGAAACAATTTACTGTTTTCCCTACGGTAACGAATTCTCACTCTTCAGTATTTCATTGTGCATGTAATGCATTTTCCGATGGACGGAGATGACGATCACGTTTACCTTGGTATTCCGAGCGCCGTAAGACTGCAGACACTCGCCACAGGATATATCGAGAGTATCATGAAACAATTTGTCTTGTAGAATCTCGTTTCCTTTTGGTGGAAAATATTGTGACACGCATCCATGGCAAAGTATAACGTCAACGTGGACAGCATGGTACCGAAACTCAACAAACCTATACCAAATGCATTTAAACCTAAAACGGGAAAAGACATTGTCAGTGTGAGATACGTGAAAAATTACCACATTATGTATCGCAATGTCTTTACAATGTCATTGCCTTGTCCAACTTGCCAACCTGGAGGACAAAATACTTTTTTGAACAAAAAAATTGAATTACCAAGATTCCCACTGTGCTGTTTTATTTTAATTATAATTTTCGATGTCGCGTCAACTGAGAAAGAAATCAAGATCGATACTCCTTTATTCTTTTTACTCGTAATTACTCGTAAATTGTTTCCATTTATTCTGCGTTCGTGATACATTTTATTCTCATACTGGCCCTTGAGCCTCTGCTTAGCAGAAATTAGAATATATGGATTCAATTTCAACTGATTCTGGGCGTAAGTACAGAAATCTTGGCCTAACCCTCCGCCTACTGTGCCGGAGTCAGCAGTTTTGACCTGTGCTGGGAGTTGTTTGTGTTAGTGATCGCAGTAATGCACGAGCATCATGTGGAAAGACGAAAAAAAAATCAATTTCTGGTAACGTTCCGTAAATCGAAGAAAGAAAGACGTGTGCAGCAAATCGAAGCAATTTTTTTATTTCAAAGTTGTTTCATATTTTAGTGTTTTTATTACTGTTTTAGTATTTTAGTATCTAGTATTTGATAGTTTGTATTATTTTTGTTTTTTAGTATTTAGTACTTTATACCATTTTTGTATTTAGTATTTTATATTATTTTTGTATTTACTATTTAGATTTTAGTTTTTAGCATAAACTATTTTAATATTTTACTATTTTTATTATTAATTTACTGTTACTTTTTATTGTTATTTTTGTTCTTTTTATTACTTTTTTCCGTTGTTTCTATTTGTTGACGCAATGTCTTCATTGCCAACGAGCAATTTTTCTTTGTCTTCTTTCGTTCAATTTGCACAAGACGTTCCTGACAGTAAACAACATAAATGTATGGTAAATATGTTATTCATGTGACTATTACTTGCTCCTTATGCTCCTACATGTTCCTATACGAGTCGGGTGTCTGTCTTGTACTGTGGTTGGTACGATATCGATGGCGAGGACCTCGGTCTCGAGCAACCGTCACACTATGTACAGTGACATGTGGTGAGCCGTCCGGACGACCTTAAATATGCATTAGTGGGATATCCGTGTGAGTCAAAATGATCCAGCACCGGAGCGCCAGCTTCAGTAGTCGGAGGATTAAAACTCTACAATTTCCTTTCCTTCTCCATTTTCTTTCTTCAAACATGTATGTATATCATTTCGAGGAAGCGTACATTTCGTCATCTCAGTTCCGTTATGTAATTTCGTTTCGACACATTTTCTAAAGCAAAATTTAACTCGTTGCTTTTCAGTAAAAATCTCAAGTATCCTGAGGTTAGTAAGTAAGTACTTACATACAATAATCGTTTATGATATGAACGATATGAGCGATATGAACGATATGAACGATATGGACGATAATGGACGAACGTTTATGAACATTAAGTTTATAGCATTTCGTATATATCCAAGTATATACCTACTTACACGTTGCTCAATAGAACGTACCGTAATTGTTGAGCAAAACTTTCACCGATCGACACGCTCGCTTCTGCGCATGCTCCGTAAATCGAAACGCTTGAAAAGTACGACGTCAATTCGACCGAACAAAAATATTACGTGCCAGGACTAATGAAAAAAATCTCGATAGCATTGCAGGATTTTATAACAAAGAGAAAATTATTTTTATCGAAATCGGAAATGTTACGTAAACGTGTCGGCGTGCTCACACGGTAGAGCATTATTCAAAAACCCGAAACACATTATTCGCAAATTGTTTCAAACTATCTCGTGTTCTACTTCTTAACCTTAGCTTGCTGTATGCTACCGCTTACCTGTTTCTTTTCCATTTTCTTTTTTCTCTTTTTTTTTCTTTTTTTTTTTTTTTTTATCAATAAAATCGCATAAAAGCGCAGAAGAAAAGCAGCTGTCACGACATAAAATTTATTCTTTAATTACAGTTTCCTTTTTAAACTTTCACCAAACGCACATGCCAAATCGTGATCGATCGAGTCGAATATAAAATTAAATTGCAATCAAGCAGTCTTTTAAAACAGTCATTCAGTCGCAAAGTCGAGAAAAAATTCACTCACTTTCTATCTGTTCGATCGCGGATGGTACGTAATTGTGATTGCAGCTCAGGTTCCTGAAGGAATTCTCCAAATTCTTAAATTCCATCTCCATCTTCTGTATTAGAATGTAGTAGGTTTCCACGTTTAGAACGTGATTTCAAGCAGAACACTTTCGTTTTTTCTTTCTTCGACTTTTCGATCGACTTCTGCTCGTAAAACTCACCAGCAGAAGAGGCGATCTTACAGCCGTGACGTTTTGAATACGACAACAACACTAGCGAATATATGCAAGTAAGTATCTTAGCCAGCGCGGCGCGGCAATCAGTGAAAGTGAATTCCCCTTCTTTTACCTTCGTTTCATCGTATTTGCTACAAAGAATAAAACAAAAAGGAAGTATCTCGTCTTGCTATTGGTTCTTATCTTTCCGTTTGATCGCACTCGTATACATTGTTGAAGATTACACATTGCGAAGTTAAAGAATCAACAAACGAGTGGAAAATGTTATAATAAAAGTACAAGCGTATAATAAAATACGTACATGCGTATTTGTGCGTGATAAAACATACATATACGTATATGATTATCTTCTAGGAACTTGGAAAGATGGGGAGTTACACATTGGTAATGTAACTACCAATTGTAACTTCTTTTGTGTTTCTGCATCGACATTCGATCGCATTCTGATTGCAAATCAAAGAATAACTTATGCCCGAAGATAGGAATAACGAGACAAATCGCAAAAGCTGATTCAATTGTACATGGACGATCATCGACCTTTATTCGTTAATTCTTATTTATTTGCACGTATATGATCGACCAATAATAATCCAAATTTCTAACGTTGTTTGTTATTTAAAACAATATTAATTAAACATTTCACCAAGCGCTTCAGCCTATTGAGTAAAATAATTTGTATGTAAACTTCATTTCATTGTATGTAAACCGAGGATCCAATTTTACTGATACAATTAAAAAAGCTCACGAATTGAATAATGTGTATTTGGCTGATTGTATTTCGATCTATCCGTAAATAGAATTTGTAAATCTTCGATCGTACATTTCGCACGTAGGTGTAATGTACGATCGAAGAAAGCTGGAGATCCAATTTCGAAAACACAATTTAAAGTGTTCACGAATAAATTGCATTGATTAGGTTTTTTGCAATTGAAAACTTACTGAATTCATGGACATGAAGGGATTGGAAATGTCGATGAGAATGATGCGAGGATGATAATGTAGGAAGCGATGATGTGGGTAAGGTGAGGAAAAGGTTGTGCGTTTCGTCTCCGAGTCGCTGCCTAGACTCATCATCAGTGGGGTTGATGGCAGCGACTCCTTACCCCAGGACGCTTGTTGTTGTAACTACTCGGCTAGGCTGGAGGCCACCCATCCTAGCGGTGTTCCGTACTCTGTTTGCTTAACATCGAATATCGATTGACTTCGACGCTAGGCGCACAGCCACTTGCGGCTTGTGCAAGTTGGTGTTCGAAACTCGTACTCGAGGAACTATAGGTCGCTACAGTCTACACGACGGTGTTGCCATCTAAACTTGTCTCTCAACTCCGATAGAAAGGATAAAAACGAAAAATCCGATAGATGGCAGCACCTCCGCACCCGTATGAAGGTTTACTCCCTTAAATAAGTATGTTACAAGATATAATCAAGAAATTATACACGGATTTGGCGGCGCGCGTTATTAAAAAATGCGAGGTTAACAGCGGCGACGATTTAAAATGAAGAGAAAAGAAAATAAAATAGCGGATAAATAATAATTTATAACTTCAGTGATTAAGAAAAGTTATCAAGCAAAGCAAGCGGTCGTCATAAAAATCTTGTTGTATAGAAATTAAAATAAATAGTAGTTGTTTCTTGTTAATTCTCGTAATATATTTACTAAAAGAAGTAAACCTCTATATCCGTAAATAAAGAGTTAACAGAGTTAGTATTCCACTGTTCCATCGGGAAAAATGGTAAATAAATTTCGACATAAATAAAATTGGGCAAAGACGTAAATTAGGAACATAGTTAGAAATAAATAAGAGTAATAAAAAGACCCGTGAAACAAGTAGCGTACATTTTATTTAAACGTTTCGACAACAACGAACGAACATGAATGAACAATGAATAAAACAAATTTAATCGTTATTTTACTCGTTATTCAAAATGATTTCTTCAATATCTTTTCTTGCTTATATAAAAAAAGTACTTTTATACACACATTCACGTATTCATTTTTTAATATAAATAAATGATAAAATACCCATATATACATGTAAATGTATATAATGTATATAATACTAGCAATAGGAGAAAGATGATTTTAGTTGTAGAAATTTTTTCAAATCAGAGCAAATTGATGACAAAATAGTCTTCCGCGACTATTTAAAGTAGTGTACATACGTACATATACAGTCACGGTAGATGACAACTTCTTTTTTATGATAACTTGCAATATTCCTCATATTTTTCCTTTGTCGAAATTAGAATAACATTCGCAATCACATTGCGATACATATGTATGTAAGTAGAATGCAACATGCAGCTGCATCAAAACACAACTATGCACGTGCTAATTGAGAATGCGTAATCATTCTCTTCATTTTCAACATATAACGATATGAAATCATTTCTGACCGTAAAAAAGATTCGTTTGAATGTTAAAAAAAGAAGAAAATTAGTTTTCAAAATTGAACGCATAACCCATATCCTTTTATCGCACGCGTATGAATTTATACTCATTTTTAATGTTTGTTATAATAACTTAAATGTAAATGTTTTCTTTAATGTAACCACTAAACGCCTTACGTTACGTTACAATAGACAACAAAATATAAACAATCATATTTTCACAAACAAAGTAATAGCAACTGTTGCTGAATGATGCCAAAATCGAATTGTTTAATTGACTGAAATTTTATTTGTGCATATTTTCATTTTTCAGCATAATCTTTGCTTTTTGAGATGTGCTATGTTTCGTATAATATTCTAATTAAATTGACAATTTCATACAAACAGTATACGTGATACTATACATATACAAAGGACATGCAATTCTGTCGAAATAAAACTTTTTTTATATATATATACATATATATATATATATATATATATATATATATATATATATATATATATATTTTATAACCATATGTGTTATATATATATTTCTCGAACCAAGTGTTTCGTAATATCATTGTAAGCTCTATATGCAACTACATGCATGTACTTTCACTTGAGTAATTGCTTTGAAGATCCTTTGAATAAGAAATTTGAGGTAGCATTCTCTAGTAAGTTATATGCAGTAATACTTACTAAAAATATCCAATTGAAGTGTTAGGAAACTATTAAAATAAATTAGAACCATTTTCGTTTAGTACGTTTCAACGTCAACTCCGTTTCATCTACATCCTTATCAATATCCTTTTTCAATATCTTTTTCAATTTCTTCTCTCTTATTTTCTCCTTTAGTTTGTTTTGTTTTAGTTTCTTCCTTTTGGTTACATCCATATCATTGCATAATGATTCGTTTTTATTCTTGGCTATTAAACAAATGTAGATTATTAATAAGTATTAATAAGTCATTTTATTATACTTGAACTTACCAGCAAATAAGTCCATGTGACGATGTATACTTCGATCTTCTTCTATTTCTCTACGACGATCCATCTCCAAGCAGTCCACAATTTCATTTCGCTTTTCAACAATTTCTATTAATCTGTCGAGAAGACGTAATACAACAAGAGATTTATTTTTTAAGGGATAAAATATGGATTTTACGTACGTACCTCTGTATCAATGCTTCTTCTCTTTGTTTATCAAAATCCGTTTTTGTTGATTCGTGTTGCGTCATTAAACATCGAATTTGATATTCGACATCAGCATGTTCTTCTTCTAACCGTTGCTGTCTTCGAAGTAACATTAATTCGGCTTGTCGTCTAAACAGTTCGTTCTTTTCATTTACCAACGTAAATAACTCTAGGACTAATTCTTCTACATCTGCCCCAAGTGAAATATCTATAATGTTTACAATATTATATACGTATACTGTATAATAAAAATTTTAGTTATTGCATATAAATTCATATACAAATTCTTACTTAACTAATATTATTTAGGTTTTTCTAAATTTTCATTATTTTTCTTCTTTAAAAACGAAGAGTGAAAATAAATATTTCTCATAAGTATAAATAACTATGTCGACTTTTTTCTGCAATGTTTCATTTTTTCGTATTTCCAGACAATTCGTGCAATTTCTTTACGCATGAAGGAAACAACCGCGTGAAATAAATAATCCGCGTAAATGTTACACAGAATATTATATTTCGATACGTATGTATATAAAGATCAAGCATAAGTGATAAACATAATTACCGTTAATTCTTGAACCAGATTCACATTTACTTCTTATTAATTGTTCCAATCGAACACCTTGCTTTTCTAAGCCCTGTTGTTGTAATTCTATTTCATCCAATTCCAATTTAACATCTTTAAGAGACATTACTTTTATCTAAAAACGATCGAACAATTCTATTTATGTTTTCAATTACATATGTATATCGATGCAAAATAAATGGAAACTTACTTTTCTTCTATGTGGGATTGGACAAGGTGGAGCTGGCCCTTTCTTCCTTTTCCATTTTCCTTCGATACTTTTATCTAAATATGACCTACAATGGAAATTTTCCTCGCATGATATTTGTGCGAAACTCTGTCTGTTTCTATTTGTTTCATCTTTATTAGTCTTTTGATCTTCCCATACGTTATATTCTATATTTGTGCCGTGTAATTTACTGATCGGAGACTCTTGAAAATTTGTCGTTGGTGGTGGTGGTGGTGGTGGTGGTGGTGGTGGCGGAGGGGCTGGTTTTTGCTTACGTGTTTTAAATGTTGTACGTGGAAGTGGATCCTAATGTAATACTTCATCATCAATCAACGAAACAAATTTTTTCGTAAATATTAAATTAGAAAATATCGTGATAAATTACGCGATAGTCAGAAGTGCTGCATTGCAGTTTAGAGGTTGAAGACGGAGGTTGATCGGAAGGACACGGTTCCTTTTTATTTGGTGGCAACGGTGCTGGTTTCTTCTTTCTATAAGCTCCTCCTGTAGACATTCTTGATTCTGGACTTCTTAAACAATTGTTAGGTACGTATGAGTAATCGTAAACTTGGCTTGATTTTTGTTCATTTGTGTTCGTCTCCTCATTGCGTCTACGAGAAAAAAAAGAAAGCAGAAAGAAACATCCTGTTATCTGATTTAAAATAAGTTATAAACTTAAATTTACTTCTCAAACTTATCCTTATTTAAATTATCACCTACACTGCTTAGTCAAATGCAGTAGATATCTGTAGGTATATACATATGTTTGTACATTGAATTTGTGCACAACAAACTAATACTAGTTGATGCTTAGTGTGATGCTATGTAACGTGTACTAGGATAAGTAGAATATCCTGGAATTTTGTTCGAGCACTACATGCAATGAAAAGTATATTTTTTTAAAAATTTCAATTTTTGTACATACTTGATAGTGCGTGGCTTAGGAGTAGGTATAATTTCAGATGACTTCTCTTTAGATTCCAAATCGCTATCGTGATCCTCTTCGTCGCTCCAAAAGGGATTTAGATTAATTTGCGGTGCGGCCAAACGTCGTTTTGTCGATCCTTCTACGAAATAATGTTGGTAAGATTTATTACTGTTAAAGTTGTTTCTAGCTGCTGGTTTTGGTGGAATAATTGTCGTCTTTCTGATTACTTCCTCCTCCGTTTCTTGTACATTTTTAACAGGATTTGTTAAATCTCTGATAATTTCCACACTGTTTCTAGTTTTCATGGATTTATCAGCAATTTTTATTTCTTCTCCTTCTCTTTCCTCGTCGTCTTCTTCTTCTGCCCCTTTTCTTTCCATCTCCGCCTCCTCTCCCTCTTCATCACTTTTAAAAGGATTCAAATCTTCAGGGTAATCTTCATTAACGCTTATAGACGTTTGATGTTCACTACTGCTCTCTCTATCCGAAAGAATTGGTAAAGTTTTGCCATCTTGCGATGCATTTGAATTGTTTCTATTTGAGCTATTAACATTGTCTTCTAAAGTATCTTGACTGATAACTGCTTTCTGAATTATCGTATCTGGATCTGTTATTGAACTTTTACTGCTTTCAGTTCTATGCTTTGCAGTTTGAATTTCCAATTTTAATGCTAGAACGTCACGATCCTTAATCTTGTTTCTTTCAATATCATCTTTCTTTCTTTCAAACATTCTGCATCTTTTTTCAATTATGGAACAATTGCTTTCAGCACCGACTTCCTCCAGTAGTTTTTCATCATTGTTGAGAGATAGTGGCCCTTTATCCTCAAATGTGTTATGGAACGAAGCTACAGAGGTCATTGCTAATTGATTCTGACTTAAACACGTGGCAACATAATCGAGTTTATTTTGTTTTTCTGCCTTTAAATTTGTACCATCCCCCTGGATGCTATCTCGAGTTTCATTCGTATGTACATTATCATCGGAAGTCTGTTCATCCTCTTCTGAAAATAGTTGATTCGATATGAAATTAAGCCGTAGTCGAGAAGTCTGTGCTATTAAATCAGGAACAACGGTTCGAGCCAGCGATTCATCATCTATCTTTTCGATAGAAATAGAATTATGATTAAGCATTTTCTTGTCCGTGTTTTCCTCATTGCTGAATTGCTCAAAACTTGAGTCAACGTTATTTTTTTCAATCTCAGTAAACGTAGGATAGTTGTAACTTTGCGTCGATTCTATTGGAATATCTTCATCCGGACAGGTTTCACAGCAATACTGTCCATTTTCGGTTTCGTAATAATTACCAATGGTTAACTGATTGGTACATCGAGCACAGCGAAAACAAGTACGGTGATAAGCGACATGGGCGAGAACCAGCTTTTCCGCCAGGAAAATTGGAAATCCACACACAACGCAGAGATCCTTTCGCATACTACCCAGACACGTCGCTCCCTGCAGAATTTGAAACAAGTAATCTTAGTTTCTTTCATTGTGCAACACGGTTTGTTAATTTACAGCAGATTAAATATAATTCCACGTCGGAATTTATTTATTTATTTACAATTTATGAACATTATTTGATTTTATAATAATTTTTTTTATTATATAATAATAGTCGAGAGAAAAAACTATTATTTTATATTTTCTAAGCACGTGCCAGAAGAATTGAAAATTTAGTTTGACAAAGAGATTTATAATAAACTGACAGAATATGAACAAATCGTGGTACCTATTAATGGACGGTGGATGGGATATTTTATCTTTGAAAATAAGACAAAAATCAAGGAAAATTTTTCTTATCCGAACACCTATTATCGCAACGTTTCATTATCCGAGTTTTCAGTTATTCGAATGTCATAATGTCGCATGGTGTACGTGTGAAATAATAATGGATCAAACAATATGTTTTGTTAAACCTTCTCGTTAAAGGTAGATAATTATTTAAACATGTGATGAATACATAAATAGAGTATGTACCAGTGAGTGAGAATCAAGCGAAAGAGATGTAAGCTATATAATAGTTACATATTGGTAATTAATAGTTGTAATTGGTTGTGAGAGAAGAAGAACGATTCCGAGATTGAATGTATGTATGTATGTATATACATGTACGTATATGCTTATTGTTGGATAAGTATGTACAGGTACGTATGAAAATTAAAAACTTCTACTATAAATATTTAGCTACACGTTGCGAGAATGTATAACAGTTACCAATGCCATGTTCCGCGTGGCTCCACAATGATGTCCTAACTTCTTGTTCTCTTTAGATTTTTGGAACAATATTAAAAACGGGGCAATATTAATTAAAACACTGTCCATTAATTAAACACTTTTGGATGTTTAAGACGTTGCTGTGGCGACTTAATGGAACTCTTACTACTCGTACAGTTACATTCTGTACGAGTTGTCAAGAAAACTGACAATGAAACAATTGAGTTATTAACTACATCAACTATGAATTTGCAATTCAAGTTCAAGAAAAGAAGCGGAGTAAAAGAAGGGGCTATGCTATAAACTTCGTTTCAATCTTTTACCTTTTTTATCTGCCTGTCTGATTGGTTCATGGTTGCTTTGTAAAATTCAATTGTTTTACATTTCAGTATGTGTGTATAAATCTCTACAGGTCGTATGCTTCTGAAATATTGCCCCCTTGTAAAATCCAATTATTTAATATTTCAATGTCTGCAAATGGCAACAAAACTCGAATGAATTCTCTCAGTCTTCGAGTTTTCTGAACTCTTTCTTGGTTGGTCTTTCGTTTTACACATTTTGTGAAAAATTTCATCGGTGAATCGCATAAGTATTTTTCGTTGCTCATTCTGTCCATTGAATTTCAATTCATTCGTGAAAGTAATTAATCAACAATTTCTTTCAAAATCCAATGACGATGCTCTTTGGTGAATTTTATAATTTCTTACGAGGTAAGCGACACGTTAAATTTATAATTTCATATGCAAATCGAATAATTGATCTCAATCTTATTGTTGAATACGGATGTACTTAAAAAAAGCAGTCAATATCTGATGTAAGGAATATTTGCATTATTTAAATACATTCGATCCAATGCGAAATAAATGAAAAAATTTCCAAAGCTAACTGAGGTGTACATTATCATTTCATGAGTTTTAATTAAAAAGATTAAACTTTTAAGGCAGGCGAATAAACTTCTTTTCTGAACTAATCTTATAAAAATGCTGCTTTACAGCAGTGCGCGCGCGCGCGCGCGCGCGTGTGTGTGTGTGTGTGTGTGTGTGTGTGTGTGTGTGTGTGTGTATGCATGTATGTATGTATGTATGTCAAAAATAATACAAAAATAATATATGACTAGTAAAACTCATGCAGAGAAATTCAATTCATTTAAAGATATCTAACAAACAAAATAAACATGCATAACGGTAAACGACGAAACAAGATTACCTTCTAGCAGAATATTTCAGGTTTATATTGTCCCATTAAGTCCAAGCTTTCCTCCTGGGAAATAAAAATATACAGTAAGGCAAGTAGAAACGTATGTACTCACGATACGATAAAAAAAAAATTGTAGGCAAGATCCAAATCGATGAATGTATTCACATTATCTACATCGCACAAGTCCAATATCTATAATTATTATAGGTATTATAAATATTATATAGATTATCTATAATGTTGATAATCTATTATAAATTATAGATTGTAGACCCTCGATAGCTTTGAAACAAATATTTCTACTTGCAAAATTATTTCTGATTTTGTTGAAAGATTTATTTATTGTACAAATCGAAACGAACGTTCGTTTCTCAACCATCTTTTATCTCTAATTACCGTTTATCGAAACGAACATCTTCCTAATCTTTCGAATTTGTTTCTTTTTCTCATTACTACAATACATATGTAGCATTACGAAAGCAAACAAAATTGAACATAATAAATACGTATTGTCATTTAAATACCTTAACATACTAAGTGACAGTCTGTTCTCCCATATTTTTAATGATGGTAAGCTTGAATTTAAAAAATTAAACTCCACGGACAACGATGGTTTAAATTACTTAAACCAGAATAAGTCCTACGTTGAGATAATAGAAACCTATTGGATAGTAGGTATTCGGATAACAAGCTGCTGCATTCTTCAAATTAAAACAAAGTATAATGAAATATTATAATAGCGAAAGATAATTTTTTTTAGAATAAAAAAAATTTGAACAAAATGGCATTGAGAGGTGGCGCAATGGTGAGGAAATAATTTCAACGATAGATCCGGAGTAACAGCGAGACGCAACGTAGTTATAAATCAAGATAAGCCAAATTATTCGAAGTTGTTTATTTTCTCCTTAAAACAATATATTGTTATATTGTGTGTGTGTGTGTGTGTGTGTGTGTTATGTTTCTGTTGGGTTTGTATGTATCGAGGATACCTAATCTTATAGTCGATCGCTTTATCTTCGGCCACAGGGATGCGGTATTCCAAAATAATTCTTCCATAATTATAATCACTGAACGCTTCGTTGCTCCGCTATTTTCGTTCTTCAAGTAGTTTTCTCAACGCGGCTTTGTTCTCTCATTGCTCAGACATATTATTTAATCTTCTCGGTAATTCTCCCATTGTTGTATCTCCGTTTAATTTTTATTATTAGGTGAATTTCTCACGAACTATCTAGCGACTATTCTCATCTAATTCGTATGTTCATTTAGAAAGTAAATTTGTATCTCTTGAGTAGTAAACGAATAGGAATTTTCATAACAATTCTTTCAAAACAACCAATAATATTGATACTTATCCCTATCCGCATATCCTCAACTAGCTCTTGAAATATCACTTTCACTATGTATTAATTTTTCTTCTTTTCTCTCTCTTTGTTTCTCTTTTAATAGTTTTATTCCTCGTAAGCCGGTGCTGATATTAAACTCATAAAGATCAACTATTCGCTGCTTCTTACAAATCAACGCTTCCTTCTTTGGTTTTTGTTGCTCTTGTATTCATCCACGATTCACAAAATTCGTGAATGAATATATCCGTGATGAAAATCACTAAATTAACGCAGTTTTCTTGCCGGATGTTTGGCGATCAGTATTTGCTCGTAATTTGCTTGCTGTATAAAGTTCGTTGGTGTTGTTAGCTCCATAGATAATGTATTCGTAGTACTCATTTAAAATATCGTTGTTTGATCGGAACAACGTAATTTACACGTAACATTGTTGCATAACCACAAACAATTTACAAAAATTAGAACCCACGAAGCATTTAAATACTATAAATAAAAGCACATTTTCACATGAGATCACATAAAGTCACGTAAAGCCACGTAAACTTACATAAAATTGTTATACATAAAGTTACATAAACAAAAATTTTGCTTAATTGTACAATTCACATATCGTAAATTCATAAATGGCACACACAAAAATAAAACACTTGATTGCACTAATTACGATCGTCAGAATAAATCCCACTTCTGAATTTATATGTAACATGGGCGTTTATTTATGAATATATGTACGTATGCATGTAGAAACATATCTCCATGATTCTACATGACCATCTGCTGACGCACAATAGTTTAATGGAGAAACAAATACGAATTTTTTGCGGGCGGAGTATATCTAATCATATCTATCTAAAGTTCCAATGCTTAACAATTGTGCATCAATTGTGTCGTACGTAAAAGACTTATTACAGTCTACGAAATTATAAAACATGCATACGATGATAAAGCTTTTTTTCTCTTGTAGTAAAATCATCAAGTATTAAGGCAATTTTGAATATGTGCATAATATTTAAAAAAAAAAATGTACATTAAACTTAATACGAAAATACGAAATATCAATATTTATTAAATTAACAACATGAGTAAATAAAATAATACTTAACTTAAAAAAGATATAAAACGAACATTCGTAAATCACTTGAAAGTCTTATGAAACTCTTTAGCAATAAACTTTACAATAATAATATATGTATAATATACGAAAGTATTTTACACAGCAAAATATAAATAGAGAGCATAAGTAAAAAATTTGCAATTTTCATGAGATTTTCAGTTATTTGTATAGAGTTTAAGCTATCTTCTTTTTTCTAGATAAAATTATCTTTATATTAATAGAATCAGTAAGTATATCAGTTTCTATAATATCATAATATGTAAATGCCCTATATTCGCATATTCATGAATAAAAGTAATTCTGGACGTACTACATTGTTGTAAGTAAGTAACCTATAGTTAAATTTTTAATCTAATCGAAATTAAAGTAAAAAAAATATTCAATAATAATTTTCTACGTTTCGTACAACAAAGGCTTTTGTACCTTTTCTTTCGGAGATTCAGACACTTGTGTGATTTTTTCCTCTACAGTTTCAGATGTTCTACTCACTGCAAGTCGTGCCGGAGACGAACCTGTAAAGTTTCAGAAAGAACAATATTTATACTTTACAGTGTTATAATATTCACGTTATAAACAAATTTTCATCAATTCTATTAACTATGAGGTGAATCGTTTTCAAATTTCTTAAATATCCTTTTATTTCAAATTTTCTTTTTCGAACAAATATTCATAGTCAGAGCTATATACATATGTACATAGTTACTACTTGTAAAATGGATTTTTATAAACGTCGTATCAAGATTCCGTTCATTTCACAGTTCCGTTGATGGAAACGAAACATAAAACGTATAATTTATTCAGACATCGACATTCAGATATTCATATGTACGTATATACCTATATATACGTATATACCTACTTACCTACTACCTAACATCTAGACAATTGTCTTTATTGCTCGTGCTGGATTCATCGATAACTAAAAGCTACGCTAAATACATCAGAACTGAGAAAATACAAATTGAAAATTTGTAAAAAGCTAAACATTTTGTTTAAAGTGGGACTACAAATCATCAACAAAATGATATCAAGTTATCAACAAAACAACATCCTTGAAACTAAATAAATAAAAATGATGTGATGCATTCCTTTTTATTGATCAAAAGCAATCAAGTTACTTAGGTAGCCAATGTTAGATGCACATGTACATATCTGCAATACATATGCTTCAGTCTATAACCGCGATTATATCCGTGCGTCGTTGTTTTCATGGACTTACCGCTAAAAGTTTGATAGAACTGGGAAAGATACGTAAGAATCGATAAACGATCAGGTACAGAACAGGAAGCCATGTCTTCCGCATCCAAAAGCGCTGGTATTCCAAGATGTTGCTCTGCGATTCTAAAAGCCAGTTCATTGTTCCCGTATACGTCGTTCTTGTCTAAACTGTCAAAGTCACTGCAATCAATGCAAAGAATAAGTTTTTTTCATTTACTATTCCATTTCGTGTATTGAGTTCAGTAAAATATTATCATTAGAGTGTAATTTAAATACTATACAATCTCTATATTAATAGTTATTATGCTAGTAAATGAAATATCCATGAATATGGCCAGATGATAAAAAAAAAAAAACATTTTTTGGGGTAAACAAGGCATATATATATTCTAGACTTTATTCCATGAATAATGCTAATATTAATAGGAATATAAAGAAAGAGAAACAAAAAACTAAATATAAAATGATATTATTGAGCACTAAATTCTAGATACACTGCGTCTGTATGCTGATCACAATCTTGCGTATTACTTGATGAAATTATATCATACATTTTTGATACGTGTCTCACTGTTACGCCGAATCGTTAAGTGAATTTTAAATTTTTCTTACCGTTCGATACCATTCCGTAAATTTTACGGCGTAAACAATCTTATATCGCTACTTAAAACGTTCCAAATAAACTCCATTAAATTATATATACTCCATACTCCATAAATTCTATCACTCTCACAAAAAAATAATCGCGACAACAACCATAAATTACAACAGTAATATATTAATAAAAAAAAATAGCTATCTAATTAAAGCATTTTTCAAAATTGTATTAACTTACTAAATGGTTAATTGTTTAAAAAACTTTCACAAAAGTGTAACTTACTAACAAGACAAGTCCAATATCTCGAAATCTTGGATAAAAATCTGAAACGTTGCAGAAATATACATATGTATATATGTACATTAAATAAATTCAATGTTACGTACCTACTAATAACTTTTGTATTACGAGTGAAACGATCGTAACGAAACGAATCTAAGAAAACAACTCTTCTGAAAAACTGGAAGATTGCTGTATTATCCGAATGATTTTCAAAATCGTAGAACTTTTAATAAAACAAGTGCTATCTGCATGTCATGTCCAATTAAACAATTGACAAATTCTGAAGCCTACAAATTTTTAAATAATAATGGAAAAATATGATTTGTTTCTAATGATAATAGGTTAGCAAAATTGAACTAATGGTAGACGTCCATTTGTTTTTTATCATGCTTTACGGAAAGTAAGAGCAGTGTTCCTATTTCTTTTTTAAAGCATTTTAAAAAGTGTAACTTTTAATGCGTTGCCAGATCAAGTAACAATCGTTAAGAACATATAACAATATACCGCTCATTTGTATTATTGTTTCAGTTTTTCTATAATGTGTATGTATAATGAAAAGAATACAAAATAAGAAAATTATTATTCATAAAAGATCAAAAGTCTAACAACTTTATTACTTGTATTGCACAATTTTGTACATTCTTAGATAGAAAAATTTACATTTATAATGTAGACTCTATTACATTCATATTGTAGACTAGGTAAAATAAATAAAAAAAAGAAATCCATAATGAGACAACACGGCACATACATACATACATACATGCATGCATACGTACCTACATACATACATACATACATGCGTACATGTATACATTTATATACAGACATATATACATGTATATGTATAGAATAAATTTCATAGTTTGTACTCTAAGAGTTAATAATAATAATAATACTGGTGATGGTAGTAAAATAATATAAAAGAAAATCTGATTTGTATATCGGAGAAATATGTTTTATGATAGACTATGATAAATAATACTATTATGTGTATTATCATAATAATATTATTATATCGATTAAATTCAAAATATTAAAATAACAAGTCATGAAAATTGCACGATATCAGAAGAAAGTGGTCAAACGGACAAAGTGGAAACGGACAATTATGTGTAAAAAAAGATTGGATCATTAAGAGTTAGCATATATGCTAATGTTTCCTTGCGATTTACTATTCATGGTAATGAACCATGATTTTACTTACATGAGATCAGGTCGGAAATGGTGAATCATTGCACAGAACGCGAGGCCATCCCTCCAAGACGTTGTCATATTTTGTACATTTACGTCAGGATAACCTTCGGTTATTCGTCGACACCAAAACTCTAATGCTTTTGTACCTCGTTTTTCGCCCATCTTCAGTTTTTGGTTGTACTTTATAATCTTTCAAATTTTCTTTTATCCTCGTATGGATAAGAGAGGACGATAATCTGTCCTCGAACTCTTGCACAACGACTCTGTAAAACGAATCATAAATAAAACATCACACAATCATACAATATTGTTTCTCGTCTAAAACTTTTAAATATGAACTGTGTCCTTTAAAAAAAAAAAAAGTTTGACCAATCTTACGCATGCTGAAATTGCTCTCGAGAGTGACTGTATACTTTCAACGTTTGTGTTTAAAATACATGCAACACACCAAAATCCTATGCTTTAATTGAACAATGTATTTTATTTTTCAATGTACTTTTACTAATAAATTTTGATTTTTCTCGATATGACGCGTATTTGAATTTGTGAGGTGATAGTGACCTTCCAAATTATCCGCGCGATATACACATGTATGTAAACATATGCATGCATACATATATAAATAGTGGTGCGTTAACGCAAGTAGACCATTCAGTTACACATTTAGGCTTTTATACGATAGAACTTCATACAGATGAATTAATTAAACTAATTAACAACCAAATAATTAAATTTTCTCTGTTTATTTTCCAGTAAGCTAACAAGGGGCGGAATTCCTTTACATTTGCTAATACACGCACAACATAATACGATTATGTCTCTCTTATCTTCGTGATATTTTTTAAAATGTTAATCTTTCTAAGTGTGCCTATATATGTTTTTGTATATAAAATATTGTATAAAATATTCTGAAGAAATAGTGGAAGAGATACATGCAATTCTATCTAAAAAAATAATACACTTGCATTCTTTTTAACTAGAATTTTATCGACTGCGTAAGTTAGTGCAATTCAATTTCAGTGCTCGCATTTCTGTAAACTTGACGATAAAGTGTAAAATGAACTATCATATTCTTATATATATATGTAGATATATACGTAGATATGTATATAATACGCATTTTCAAATGTCATACTTATTTCAAGCATATACAATATACTTAAACGGATATGCGCCCCTCTCCAACGTTTAGGTCAAGTCCGAGTTTCCCTTATATTCCCTTTCACTATTGCGCTGTGAAATTTATAAGCATACTTCGTGACACACTTACTAAACTCACAGTAACAAATATTATTGAACTATATTTGATTAACAACTACCCCTGTCCAAAATGTAAAACACATAAGCGCAATCTTTCTCAATAACAAAAATACTACTTATTTCAAAACTTATAACAACAATATTTAAGTATAAATATTTTCTAGACATTACAAATAATAAAATATATAAAATAAGATATAATGACATTTCATATAAAAATATGTATTATGGTACAACTATTGTATAAAAAAAGAAAATTTAAATTAATTGTAATTATCATAAAATTAAGTTAAAATCATAAAATTTAATATAACAAGTACAATATAAGAAATTGCTATAACATTTAATATAATATAGTAAAAATATTTTAGCCAATTATAGTTTGAATACTATTTATAAGGAAATTAAAGTAGAACTTACATAAAATTTATACAAGTGCATATTATCTATAAAAATATATAATGCATACATATAAATATGATATATTCTTTCATAGAAAATAAATCTGAATAAAAATATGTATACATATGTCATAACAAATACAATGCACATCTTAAAAGAAAAATTTCACTAAGAGAACTAAACAAGTATTTGTATAGCAATTTAAAATATATAAGTGTACACAACTGATAATCAATCATTTAAAATTACAAAACAATTATATACATACATATATTTATTTCTAATTAGAAAAAAAGATTTAAAAGCAAATGTCTTGTTAAAAACAACAATACTGTTTAAGAATTGTATACTGTTTATTTTGTTATAATTCATCATATTAAATATATGTTCAAATATCAAATATAGTATAGTATATATATTTTATTATATCATCATATTAAATATATGTTCAAATATCAAATATAGTATAGTATATATATTATTATTATAATTGTTTCATTATAATTGTATAGAATGTAAAATGTATCATATTTTAATTTATAAGTATTCAAGTTAAAAATATTTGAAGTTAAATAAAAAATTATTTCATCAATCTAATTCATGTATATATGTATAAGTATTTATATACTTACACAAATTTGTAAATATTTTCAAAATATCCTACAGGTAGAGAATAACGTTTATAACCATGTATGTGACAAGTAAAAAATACAGCAGGTATAATTCCATTTATATTTAATGGAAACTTTGTAAACTGTATTAAAACGTACATTGGTTAAATACGATAAAAAAAATAATTTTCAAACAATCACAAAGACTAAAGTATCATTATTATTACGTATCATTAAACAGAATAAGTCATAGAAGTACAGCACGTGTACAGCAACATACGTGTATATATGTAAATTGTCATTTTAACCGTGCCAGTAGCTTTCTTTTTTTTTCTTTCAGTCGTCTCATTTGTTCTTTTCTATAAATTATTTATCCATACGGAGATCCGTTACCTTACGTCACTCGCATGACCCGTTTCTGCTTGCCACCAATAGTTTCAATTCTTCTGTCTGCTATTAAAACTGCATTCTTTAACGAACCATAAACGACATTATATTTTTTCACTTCATTTCACATGATTATACGATAAAAATAGTCCTATTTATTGAACTATTTATTGTTTTTGTATACAGATTGAGACATCAATTGTCCAATAATTTTTCTAACCTTTACATATATGTATAATAAATATATATGACAAAGAAATTAAGAAACTTTTTATACGATAAAATCAATAAAATAAAAATGAACTAGCAACATTTTTATAGCTTTGTTTATATATCTTCACTTTCACACTGAAAGCATTGATTAGCACTAGTCAAGACCGGTCGTGAGTACTTTGAAACACAATCACACTATGCGCGCAACCCAAAGACTGAAACGCCATGGCCACGAGTCACGAGTCATGAGTAGCATACGTTTAATTTCACGCCAGCACCCCTTGCTCGTTTCACTCACTCACTCGCTCCCTCTCCCCCTCTCTCTCTCTCTCATCGTTTTATTGGCTATCTTTCTCATACATACATATATTGCAAGCCTCACCTGTTTTACTTTCTCTTCTGCTTTAAATTTTTAATAATTCATTTTTCACTATTTCTTTCTTCATTCTTTAATCGAGGAGCTTCTTTCTTTAGTTTCTTATGAATGCTACGTAATATATGTACTACGTATTGCAATTAATTTTGAATCTATCTTTCAATATAGGTTAAGTACGTGCGGTTATTGACATGTGAATTGTGTTATATCTCTATCCAACATGATTTAGTCAAGTTAATATTGAATTAATGAGTTAATACTATTTTATTATATTTTTTTATATATAATACAAAATGAATTTCAATAATTTTGTAATAGTTTTTCAAAGAAGTTATAAATAAAAAGCTAATTAATCTGTAATATTTAAATTTAAGTGAAAATAATATTATTTTTGAAATGTCTTATACATAAATCTCATTTTATTTTCTGAAATGTAAATGTTCATTTTAATCATTAACTTTGTATAGTTAAATGCAATATAGATAGTAGATGGATCTCATATCCCGACACAAAGCATAATATTTTAACTTCTTCCTAAAAGATATATATATTGATTATTCATGTTAATTATGAAAAATTTATATTATGATATTAACATAGTAATACTTATGTTGTTAACATTTTACTATTTTAGAATTCTGCAATAGTTATATTTTTAGAGTATAACTGATTTAGAGTATATAACTGATAACACTCGTGCATAAATTGTTATTATATAAATTATTGTTTTTTATATATCATTATACAAGTTGTACATAAATACATAAATATTATCTAATTAATAATTGACTTTACAACAGCAGATATTGAAATATATATCTCCTGAATATAACATTGCTGGATATTATTATGATATATGGAAAAAATTTTTTATCCATATTACATAGGAAGTGAAGAAAATGCAAAGAATCAGTTTTACAACCTAAAATATAGATATGTACAGATGAAGATACATCATTAGAACTGAATGAAACAATCATTTAAAGAATAAATATAATTAAAACATAATTGAACCCATACATTGGATTAACAGAGGAGATTAATATATGGAATTCACTTAGACAAAGAATTATATTAATTGTTAGATATCTCAAATTACCTAAGTTTGACTACAGATATCATGCACGTCTTTGATGAATTTTTGGAAATCATATAAATTGAATTATTTAAAACATTCTTTATGCATATTATAAAATATTATATCATATACATATATCTTTATTTACAACTATCTGCATTAAACAAATATGTTTCACAACAGATCAGGTTGAAGAAGAATTATAAAATATTAAATATATTCATTTATATCTTCAATAGAAATGATTACAATTATTAATCTTGTGTCTTGAAAACTGCAAACATTTTGAGAATTATGTAAAATCTGTACAATAATTTCAGAAAAACTTTCTATGTAAATAAGTGATCATTTAATTTATATGGTTGCCTCTGTTCTAAAAGGAAATTTCTATGCTGACATATAAAATTGAGAAAAGTGTGCTAAAAAAATTTTAATTAATTTCTGAAAGAAGAAGCTGAATAAGAAGCTAAAGTGTATATAGAAGAATCAAGTTTTTGAAGTGAAAAGTCTATTATACATGATATATTTTTGATGCTGTTGTGAAAAAGATTCTACTTACTTTTTAGAAATTTTATACATATATGTATATCTCATTCCAACGTCTTATATAAATGAACAATTTTGGAAATAAATCTCGTAATTTTAGAAATGAATAATCGATCGTTCCGTATAACATTTCAAAGATACGAATAAAATGGCCATAATGTAGATTTTGAATGTTCAAAATTCTGAAAACAATATGCAATTAAATTAGAAAAAAAAGATGCGAGTTTGTTATCCGTTTATTTATAAACAGGAAAATTAATGAAAGTAAGGGGAATATTTATTAACTTATTTAATAATTTAAAATTACATAGAAATTTCGGTTCACATAAAGTTTGATTATTGTCTTTTGACGAAACGAAAAATACCACTGTCAAGGCGTGAAAACTTCGGTATATACTGATCGTTGATCAATAAGTCTCCAGAGCATTCTAACCCAAACAGTAGCGTATTAAGGTAAAAGTTTTCAATATAAAATGTCATTATTTATTATTATTTTAATTTATTTATTCCAATTATCAAATATCAAAACTAATTTTTCTCATTACAGCTTGAAATATCATAAAATTGCAATATTAACTAGAAACATTATAATATGAACTTTTATAAATATAAAAAATAAAAATTATTTAAACAAAGAATTATTATATAAACAATAAAAATTTTATATAATATTTTAAATTTTGAAATAAATATTTTAATGAAAAGTCAACATCTACTATAAACTTGTATCGTATATCAACTATAAACTTGATGTATTGATCATAAACTAAACTTGACGTTAATATATATACTATTATCTAACTTAATCAAAGTTCAAGTCAAATAAAAAATGATTGTAGAAAAATATTGAAAAATAAAAGTATAAAAAAAGTTTATAAAACATGTATTTTCATGAAAGTATAAACGTTTGTACAAGTGCTTTTTGAATATTTCTTCAAACCATTTTGTATTTTAGCAAAAAGACAAAAGTATCATGAAACAAGAAGAGAATCAATATCAATGTAAGTATGTACGTAGACAGTAATTACAAGTAATTTGCTACGTCACTGCTTCAGGATATTTCACTGACAACATCGCACATGTGCAGAAGCTTTTGTTATAGCTTGCTAGCCCCCGTGACGCTATTGGTGCGCCAAGGTCAAGCAGGATCTATAGAAATTATTCCTTGTTAATTTTACTTTCAATTTTGCTATCCAAAAAAAAAAAATATAAAATTTTATATGTATATCATTTATTTTTACTATCCTTCCTCCTTAATAAATATTTGTAATACATTAAATAATTTTTAGTTCAATAGTTTTAGAGTTAGATATATGTATGTATATTATAGATTATTAGATACATATATGTTTTATGTCATCTCATCGTTAGTTTGCGAAGTGTAGTTATAAATTTTCTTTTTAAAAGCCTATTCCACTCGTTCCGGTTATTGAAAAGATTTTAATTAAAATGATCGCTATATGGACTTCCGTTGCTTTTCTTGCTTGAATCCAGTTTTTAAATTTCTTAAAATTTTCATTTCGTATTTCGATAAAACATGAAATTTTTTAAACTTCTAATTAATCTTGAATGTGACACCTGGTTAATAATAGCAATGAATGAAAAAAAATGCTAAATGTTACAATAAATCGATTATTTATTGTGACATTAATGTAATCAAACATTGAACTCTATTACTGTTATTTTTCAATATAAACATATAGTACGAAAACGAATGGCCAAAGGAAAGCTTTTTGTTTTTCAAGTCATCTTATATTTACAGTTTAAATTACTTAAATTTTGCTAATTTTACACAATATGTTTAATATCTGATTTCAGATTTATACACATTAAGAGAATTGATGAATTACTTCGTTAAATATTTATCATCGAACGTTATCGATTTCGATTTTTATGTTCAAAATATTTGACATTCACTTTTGACAAGAAAAATAATATGAAAAGGAAATGTTAGATACACTTTTTGTCGAAAGGATCGGTGATACTAGTTGGAACACAAGCGTCCTCTGTATTGTTGAACGTACTATATAATAATCTGTACATACATATATAAAATAGGATTCTCTGTATGTGTCCGTCATCGATAAAGTTTGGAATAACTCGGTCGCGCGGATTGCTCGTTCGTTGAAAGGGTGACGAATCGAGAATACGAAAAGACTGGAAGCTCTGGATGGGTGTCGAGTAACCGATTCTTGGTCGAAACTGCGCGGCAATACTCGACGGACAAGTACGAGAATATCCGAAGCTGAACTGAGCAGAGTCGTAGAACAAAGACGACATGTCTGCGGGATTTGACCTCCGCGAAGCTGACACAGAGATTTGTTACAGATCAACCCGATTAATATGCGACAGCCTAGCAATTTTGTATCACCAGTTGACAAAGGCTATAATAGTGGGGTGAAAAGTGACAAATCATTTGGAAAATACGGACAATGGTCGGCGACAGTGTACCTGTGCATGTGTTTACAACAATGTGTTTTATCTCGAGAAACGTGAACAGTCCATAGATATACAAACGTAATTATAGAGAACGTGCGTGCGTGCGTGCGCGCGTGCGTGCATGCATGCATGCATGCATGCGTGTGTGCGTGCATATGATGTGTACGTGTGTGAATGCGTGTTTGGTACGCATAAGGGTTCTTTACATGCACAACATACACGCACGCGAATGTACCGATATATAACAGGAAGAATTGGAGTGGAGGGGTTTGGAGCCCTACAAACCGTTTTCTGATCGTTGACTAGTCTCATCGCACTCGTTTCCTCTTTTCTCCCGTATTATATAACTTCCTTCTGTCTTGTGAATTTCGTAACTATGAATATCTCTTAGCGTACGTCTGGCTGATAGTGGTCGCCGTTGATGTCGTCGACGTTATTATTGAAAATATGCTTGGTATAGAAGCATTAGCGGCGTCGCTGTCGTGGTTGGTACTGGTGCTAGCGTTGGTACTGCTGGTGGTGCTAGTGCTGGTGTTGAGAATGGTCTAGCGCGGGTGTGCGCGCGCGGTGCTGCCTCGACGGCATACAGTGCGGACGGTGGCTTTAGATTCAAAGCTGCGGAAGAAAGGCCGCGAGCTCGGCCCTACTCCGATGGCCTGATATACACTACAAAACGCGTATATGAAGCTACACTGCCCTGACTCGTCGAGTGAGTACTCTAATTATCATCTTGTCGATCGATTTTCAACTTAATACTCAATTTAACGATCGACCTTTAACCAAACTTGATTCTTACCAGAACATTTCCTATATTTTACTTTCTTCCTGTTTTTTGCTTTCGTCCTTACATCTTTCATCTTTCACTTGGATAACATCGCAGGCATGAATGCTGTCATTTCTGACACTCGTTCTTATCTCTGAGAATATCGTGATTTTCCACGCATATTACATGTTCTGTGTCAAGGATGTCGCAGTCATTACGCGACTCCTACGACAAATTTTCATCATACTTATCAACCAATATCATCGATATACGTACATACATACATACATACATACATATGTGTTTTTCACGTTTGTTATTTCTTCCATATTCTCCTTTTCATCTCTTAAGCTCCTTATGTCTTTTTTTCTTTTTCCTCTTTTAATTATTTATTTTTTATTTCATGATTAACTACTAATTACTGAATATATAACTGTCTTTCATCAATTAATCGTTAAAACTGTCAAATTGAAAAAACGAAAGTGAACATTGTGATTGAAAAGTGAACATGATGATTAATGCGTCGTAGTTCTGCAGATATGTTGCGTAATTTTCATTTTTCTCTGAAAAACTTTCCTTTCACGACAAAAGCAGGAAAAGTAGAAAACAAGTCGGAAAATATCGTACGAAGGAGCTGCAATAAATATCGACCACGTATTCTGACGATGAACGAAAGCTTAAAGAAAGTGAACCGGGTCACGACGCAGTTTCTCGACGCGCATTTCCAAAATGAATAGAATACGGAAAAAATTTGTAGAGCGTAATGTTGATAGTAAAACGTTATTAGTGAGAAAGTGCCAGTAAATTTTCATCGACATTACGTACGTGCGTTTTATACACACCTAATGCATAATATGCATATTTCAAAAATCAGTTTCGATTTTTAATACAAAACGATAAATTATACTTGACGTTTCTTATTAGAATGACTCCAAGATCGAAACCATTAATTATCAATACATTTGTCGTGTGTATTTTATATTGTCATTGCTATAGTAACGGGAGTCGAACGATGCAATTGCATTTCCGTATATATTATCGAGTCGTATCTTTCCTTAATTCTCTGCGATTTTTTCTTTTGCAGTTTCTTATTACTGTTGTTTGTTATTTATAATCTATGTGTCACGCGATACATTGCTTGATATAAAATATTATCGAGCTATGTTCAATATTTATTTTTCTCTAGTACTTTAAAATAAATGAATTTAAAATAACAAATTACATTTCTATTGTTGTTACATTACATATGCATATTGCACGCATTTGTAAACACATTTTGTAAAAGTTCAAAGTTTGAAGTAATCATGTATTTTTTAATAATTAAACAGATGAGATTTTTTTCTTCAATCTTAGCTGTTCATATTCAAATGACAGAAGTTTCATGCTTTTTGTATCACGCTTTGCAACGAAAGTCAACATTTCCTTGTTCAACAAACATATTGAGAAAAATAATATAGAAATTCGTACTTGATTTAATAAAATACTTTGCTAAACTCTAGATTAATAATGCAATAAAGCATTTCCTTCACATATGGTATTACATAAGCAGAATAATATTAAGACTACGTATTTACATGTGCGCGTGTTTTTCATAATACAACAATCTCAAGAAAAATATCGGAAAGCCATATACAGAATAATGATGATAATAAGTGTTGAATAATAATAGGTAAAAGTCGAAATTAAATAAATAAAAATAAAATGTAGAGTGTTTGGCTTTAATATACAACTAAAGTATTGTATTAATTATGAGATATTGATACTTTTTTGACACAGCGACGAAAACGTAAAATGATTATGGTGTATGATTATGATGTATGTATGTAGATATATTGTTCTCATAACATTTTCTAATGTTTTATTTCTAATTCTATTCTAATATTTTACCGTTCCTAATCTTCTGCTCTCTCCATTTAAGTTTCTTTATTGTACCTATATCTCAACTTTTTAAATCAATTTAAATCGATCTATTCACATTTTTACTAATAATCTACTTGCTAATTGTAAAAATAACTTTCACATATCTGTTTTCATATTCGTGTGTATTTATATCGGAAAAAATTATCAAAAATAAGTATCTTTAAGGTTTTAGCTTCGGTGATTTTGAAGTTTAAAGTTATCAATCATAACAATTATTAAATTAAACAAAGTGTAACAGAAAAGACAAATTAGAAATTTACATAGTGTACGATAGACAGAATGTACTTGTAAAAAAAATTGTAGCATGTATGTAGGGCTTGTTGAACGGTGGAAAGTTTATCTTTACGATTTTTTTTTCTAATCATCATGGTTAGAACAGAGAACTATAGGTTGACCCAGTTACTACTGGAGTTCCTAGAGGCACCAGCCTATGTATACCGACAAAGTTGAAATATTAGATATTAGGTAACTTATTGCTATTATTATAAGTAATATTACAATCAAGTTTAAAACTATAAAGATTATATATATTTATATATAATATACATTTATGAATATAATACACAATACACAATATGAAAGAAATAATTTGTTAAAAATTTCAGTGGGCGTGCGGGGGTGACTGGAGTGATGGGATGGGGCTAGAGCCCCATGGAGTTCGGGTAGACCCGTCTCCGGCCCAACTCCCCAGCCCCCTCCGCCATCGATATCGCCACAGCTCCTGCCAGCGTCGCAGAGGGCCGCCTCGATCGCGATGGAGGTCTCTAATAATCAACAACAGAAAAAGGAGCCACGCGTTCATAGGCCTTACGCCTTCGACAAGGTTCATGGATTTCTCAATTCTTATTTCATTTGCAGCTCGCACATTGATACTAATGCAATATCATTTGTTTCGTAATTCAATTCTATAGAATTGATTTCCCAAAAATTGAAAAGAATTTATCTCTTCTTACTTTCTAATAATTTTTAAGGCGTTGAATTTTATGAGACATTGTTTTATGACTTTGTGATTCATTCTCGTAAGACGAGATCTCTAGAGTCAATGATTACGGTTATCGCGTAACTTTCTTTTTTATCACGTTAAAAAGGAAAAACGAAACAAGTATGTATGTATGTATGTATGTATGCATGTATGTATGTATGTATGTATGTATGTATCTATCTATATTACAGATGGAGGGGCTGGTGCGGGAGATGCAAGACCCTGAGAACGGGGTACCCGTGCGCAGCCAAAAACAATTTCTCACCTCAATTCCCTCAGCTTTCATGGGTGAGTGCCATCGGTATCTACGTTGTGGAGTAAACGTAAGCGGCCATCACGGCCAGGACACTACAGTAGGGTGCCTGCATGTTGCAGGTTACGATCTCATCGAGTGGCTGATGGAGCGGCTTTCCATCGAGGAATCAGGTATGAAAATCGCGTATGAAATAAATTGTTGCTTATCTAAATTTTTCCATCGTCTAGTGTCTTAATGTCTTGAAGACGCACATTTCATGCTAAAATATTTCTCATAACACGTTGTTTCAGTTTGTTTTTTTATCCAAGTTGTATTTTCCACCTATTGGTTGAATTCAATTATTTCCCCGGATCGCCGAACAATATCTATGTATTATTTATTATTACTATCGTAGATAAACCAAATATCGTATCAAAGTGCTCTATTTTTTCCCTTTTTTCCCTTCCTTTTTATTTATTTTATTCCTACTAGATAGATACTTACCTAATTTATGTTCTTTATTCGTATTATGCTAGTAAAAAATTTAGCTTTTTAATGTCTGCGAAATGGAAGTTGATGCGAGTGCATTGTGTTAATCGCCATTAATGCTTGAATCGTCAATTATATATTTTTACGAAATTTTTCACCGCAAATCTGAAACTATAATAGTTTCAAGAGACAGATCATCGAAAACTGTATAAGCATCGAAATTCGGTAAATTTGTTTCATTTTAATGTTTAAACAAAACTACTTTTCACCGAGTCACTTTTTCGTTTTTTGTTTAGCTTCTTGTTTATTTTGTCTTCCCGGGTAAGTGAGTGAGTTACTTATTTACTACTTACTTACTTACTTGCTTACTTACTTATCTACCAGCTTGTTTACTTACTTATTTATTCATTTATTTACTTAAACGAACGGTATTTGATTCTAAATTTTTCAGTCAAGATAAATTAATTATTTTTTTAAATATTTTTCAGTATCGACGATTCATTCAAATTTTTGCAATTTCTTATTTTTAATAACCTTGGCTGACCTTGTTCATTTTCCTACATTCCAACAAAAATGAAATTAATAAGATCAGCTAATTTACTCATAATTACTCTTTGTTTTATGTAATAATTTGATATGTACAAAAAGAAATCCAATGGCGTGATATTTAGTGAAGAATCTTCTACGTAAATTAAATTTGTACATAGTATGATATATACATAATATACTTAGCAGTTAGGATATCAGAATATCAAGTGACGAACTTTGTCCATATGTTCAGCAGATCATGTTGAAAAAAAAATTTATTATGCAATAAATTATTATATATAAATTGAATAATATGTAATAAAGTAATAATTCTAATATACTTCATTTAACTTGTTTTCAATATTTGTATGTAATACATCGATTTTTTTATATAATAGATTTTGCCATTTACATTTATTTATTATTATATTACATTTTGAAGCATCGTCTTAATGTTGTTATATTGTAATGACATCACATCTCGTTCGTTAATCATTAATCCTTTATATCACATTTCTTACGTTGCATTAATTATTCATAATTACTTTCGTCACCTTTGGTTTTATACAACTCTGCATTAAAAATTCTTACACGATTAAAAGCAATCGAGAAACAGAGGTTTATTAATCCATATACTGCCGAATAATGATATGTCGTCAGTGCCGACGACGATACATTGACCAGCAGTTTTTCTATTAATTCTGCTAATTGATCGAATTTGATGCAAGTTCGATTAAATTTTTTATTAATATAAATACAGTTATTATGTTTATAGCGTACATAGATATTTAATTAAAATTTTAATTTTAATTAAAGTTATATGTACTTTATCACGTCTATTAATGTACTTATCATCCGTCATTGTGACAAAATTTATGATTAAATAAGGAAGTTCTTACTCATATTGTGCCAACCGGTATAATATTGTATTCGAAATACACATGTAGTGTTCGCATAAAGTGTTACAAGTATACACTTATAATTAGATCATAACTACTTTTTCTCTTATTTATTTCTATTGTTGCAGTTTATTGAGATCTGAGTTTGTTCAGATAGATAGATAAAAAGAATATGATAGCCTAACTAGCTATCATTATTGATCCCGGTAGGAAATCGAAGGATCACTATCCTTTGTTTCACCACCACCTTCTTGCTGAAGGTCTGTAGTTTTAAATAGGTTTCTTTTATTACGATATCTTTTTTCTGCAAGAAATATAGTCTATTATTGCCTATTGTTGAACATACAGTTATACGATTTTTACCTTTAATAAGACTTCCTAAAAAGAGGAAAAATAAATAATAAGAAAGACAAGAAATAATAAATAGGATAAATAAATCAACTGTGGTGATTATGGAACATGTAGCAATTATTTCATTCACCGAATACTGTAGTTGATAATATCTTTATTATCTTTTCCATCGATCTAATTGTTTCGATGCATTACTGATTTATCGATCTATGCATACATGTACTTATTTACAATTAAGAATAATTATAGTAACAATGAAGCATCGAAAATAAAATATAATAGTGATAATAAACTTAGTATTTATGCAAGTTTAAAAACATGCGGTATTCAAAATTGTTCGACACCATGGGACAAAAATCTTCGAAAAATCTTCTACATATATAAAAATATGATTGGAACTTCAATATTAGCAGTGGGGAAGGATACGTATTATCGCAAAGTACTTAAAAAATTATTAAGTAATTCGCTTTCTTTCAACAGATAAATACCCGTTTTGTATATATATTAATACTTTATATTATAATATTTTACGTGCGGTATATTATACACACGTAATTTGTAGGTATATATCTTGAAATTGAACTTTCATTTTTCAAAGATTCTCTATTCATACAAAGTTTGTACCTGTTGCTATATCTTATTTTTAGTTGTTGTGTTCTGTTGTACTTTTCCTTAGTTTCGTTAATTTAATTTTCATTAGTTCTAAACAGTAGTTCTAAACTACGTGTCCATGCATTGTCTTTTCATTGAATTTGATCGAGTAAAGAATTATTAAAGTACAAAATAACGAAAGATATAGAGATGTAGGTGAACATTGCTTGAGCTGAGAAATTATTTGCAATAATATAACATTCGACGAAAAATTTCAATCGAGTAGTGACAACTTTGTTTATTTCCCTAAAATCTAAAACAAAAAGAAAAATAATTGGTTGTTTTTCAGCGATGTGGCTTTCTTATGATTAAACAGCATGCGCCGCTCTAAATATTCGCTCTGAATAAATGGCTGGTCGTCTTAATTGCTATTCATTATGCGATGTACGCGCAATTTGGCAAAAAGACTAGATGAGTTGCACGTGATAGGTATCACTTAATGCCTTCCGTCAGGTATGAAAGTAAATTGTTATGTTGACAGTAGAGGCGGTCCATATTGCCAATCAGCTCTGCCAGTATGGCTACTTCTTCCCGGTGAATGACTCCAAGACACTCACCGTAAGGGATGATAGTTCTCTGTATAGATTTCAGGTACCGTACTTGTCATATTACATGTTTCAGAATCGAGTAACTTTTTAATTTATGTACATCCATTATGTGCGATCGTATACGCGTATATATCTATAACTACGTATAATATATGCTACATTTATATATTGTATGTACGTATGTACGTATTATTTATTTGTAAAATGTGATCGACCCATTCCTTTCTTTTAGCTCGTTTAAAAAAATCATTGTGAATCAGTGTGAGATAATTCGGGGTAGGTTATTTCGTCAAACAAATAAACGTTATTTTCCGAGATCATCGCATTTTGCAAAAAATTAACAATTTGCGAGCAGATGCGATGGAAACATAATAAGTATATTATATCTATATTTGCTTTTCTACGAAGCGATATTCTTGATCCTCTGACAAATATATTTCAAATATGATCTTGGAAAATGTATTTTTATTGCTAGCTTCTCTTTCCTTTCTTTTTTAAAACAAAGAAAATATATACATACATATATATATATATATATATATATATATATATATATATATATATATATATAATGTATCTAAATGTTTCTGATATTAATACATTAGCATCTTATAAAATACGTACCTATAGTTTCATCGTTATCGTTATTATTCAAATACCTAAAAGATATTCAACGAAGATTTAGTTTTATTTTTCATTTCAATTATGATTGATACACGCGTTAAACCTACATCCATGTATTATTAAATACATATTTAGAATACAATACGATACAATACCATACAAAAACATATTGATAGGTCGATATACGTACGCAAATATATATATATATGTATAATATTATCAATATATGTATATGTTACATATTTTTGCAATGATAACATACATATGAATTTTAAAGTTTTTATGTATTTTGTCATACATCTTCATCATATATCTACCTGTACGTGAAACTAGTGATCTAAAAATATAGCATAAAACATCCTGATGTAACAGTCGAATACAACGAATATCCGATCATTATGTACATATGTATGTGCGTAAGTGTGTAAGTACGTACGTACGTACGTATGTATGTAGACACATTTGTAGGTAGAAATCGAGGAAGTAATAATTTGAGAACGTACACAGCCAAGTATTAGCCGTTTAGGTCTAGGTATTTAATATTTTTGAGGATATGTCAGTACAGTTGATGCATAATTATATTCTTCGTTATAATTGGATATATTGTCAAATTTGAAATCATCAGACATTTGACTTGGGTCGGTAAAAGAGAAACGAACAGCTTCCATCTGCAATAATTAAGCAATTTACTATAATATTATGAAAAATGATTTGACAAACATTGAGAAAATGTTTAAATATGGCTAGTATGAGTATAGCAGAAAAATAGGCTAATTTTTCTGTGCATATTTTTTAAATCGTTAACATATCACTTTTTTTATTTAATAAATAGACACCATGTTATTGGCCATGGCAACATAGAATCCCCGATAATGTGGAATATGCTATTTATCTGGCTAAAAGAACTCTAAGAAACAAGCAACGACACGCTCTTGAAGAATATGAAATTGTATGTAAATTTCCATGATTTTGTTTTTCAAACATTTTTTTATATGTAATACAATTGTATTATAGATTACTTAATATCTAATGTCTAATATTTTTACATACTTTTAGGAAGCTTTACAAAGTCTACGTAGGAACTTGCAGAACAAGTGGGACATTATACAATTACAAGCCGAAGAACAGGTGAATAATCAATCGTAATAATTTATTTTTCCGTACTGTTTCGCTAAAACTAACAAAATAGTTGTAATAAATTGGATATTACGTCGCGTCAATAATCTCCAGATTTCACATTACTACAATATACTGGAATAAAGGAATGTTGGATTTATCCCAAAATGGGATAAACTCAATTCTATATACAGTTAATAGAGATATAATACGGTTATATTTAAGGAAATATGTTTCAATATATGTTTTCTATATACGCATGTATATATTTCTACGTTTATATATTATATTACGTATATTTTCCATGTATGTAAGTATGTACGTATGTATGTATGTATGTATGTATGTATGTATGTATGTATGTCTGTCATGTATGTATGTACCTACATACATACATACATACATAATGAAAACATTATACTTTTGTCCATGTAACTCCTTGAAATGTTAATTTTGTGGATTCAGGTACGCTTAGCGAAGGAGCGAAAAAAGGGAGATAAAATAGTAAGCGATTCCCAAGAACGAGCATTTTGGAGAGTTTACAGACCACCACCTGGTTGTCTAAGTAGTCTCGAAGTAGCACCTGTTCCTACGCGTTTTCGCCCTGGACTTTCGCGTCCTCCTTCGCGTAAACGCACTTTGACCGATCTGCAACGCGAGGTAAATATATATATATATATATATTTTAACATGATTTCTTTTAAACCTGATATCTTATTTCGAATCGCTGTCTAGCTAGACGGTAGCTATGTACCTACGTACCGTTTTAACTACCTTTCTAGTGTGTTTTTGAATCTCTGTCTACGACATGTAGTACATATTACAGACACATGTTATTATACACTATATTTTACATTTACATTATACGTTATAATTTTTTTTTTTAAATAGTAAATCTTCTTAAATAGCTTCCTTTTCTTTTTCTTTGAATACTAGGTGGCCCTTTTGAGGAACAGTTTAACACGTACAAGAATAAAAGTTTCGTCTGCGATCGAAAACTTAAAGTCATACTTTGATACATATGTGGAATATGATCCAATGTTTGTGCAGCCACAACCTTCTAATCCATGGGTCACCGAGGATCAAACATTCTGGCAGTTAAATAGTCCTCTGTTAGTATTCCAAACGTAATTAAAATTTCTCATGCAAATAGCGTATCTGTATGTACAATCATTATGCGCAATCGGATGTGTGTCGTATCGCAGAACACGGCTCATCCGTTTCAATTTGTACGATATTATTTCAGGGTAGAAGTTCCTACGGAAAAACGCGTCAAGCGCTGGGCACTATCAATGGAAGAACTAATGTCTGATCCTACTGGTGAATATTCTTTCGAAATTATACATGAGTATCTATATATCTACGATATATATATATATATATATATATATATACATAGATCGTAGATTGCATATGTGTTTTTACTATGTATTATATTTACAACAGAAACAATTCATATTTATTATCAGTGATTATTTTGAAAACATTTTTATATTATTTATAATATATTATGTATAGTAGCTATATATATGTATATGCATATACATATATACGTAGGAATACTACATATAATGTATACAATATACAAAATGTAATCGTAAATCTGATGATAGCACTAAATATTAGTAAAACTGTTTAGTTATTATGGTATTTTGCTATATACTAGTCGTATATAGCTCCATGCCATAATATTTATTATTCCATAATATTTACTAGATGGACAAGTATGTATGTATGTATTTCGAATGATGAATTAATGTTTTCGTATAGTTGTTTCGTATAGTTATTTCGTATTTAAACACAAGAACACAAGCGATGATAGTACATTCATTGTAAGAATTGAATGGTTAACGTTTGAAAATTGCATTTTCATTCCATACATTCTATTATAGGTTTGCAAGAGTTCACAAATTATTTGAGGAAAGAATATAGTCATGAAAATATACGATTTTGGTTAGCGGTTAAAGATTTGAGGCATAGTTTTCAAGCACAAATACCCGACAAAGTCAACGAAATTTTCAAGTATGTACACTGTTTATAATAAACTTTATTATATCAAATCGATTCGTCGAAAACGAGTTGTATATACATATATATATATATATATATATATATATATACACGTCAGGTCATTGAATGAATGAATTTGGTATACATAAGACAGGAAAATAATAAACATAATATATTCTAGAGAATTCCTGGCACCTGGAGCACCTTGCGAAATAAATATAGATGGGAAGACAATGGAAAAAGTACATCAAGAAATGAAAAATCCAAATCGATTTACATTTGATTGCGCCGCTGAACATGTGTATACGTTACTTCTAAAAAAGGATTGTTATCCTAGATTTATTCGTTCCGATCAGTATCGAAATATCTTAGCTGCTGGTGTGCAACCTTTGCAAAAAAAATGGTATGATTCGACTAATTTTATTCTCTATTTATTTCCCTACCATTTCTTCTTTCTGAACGTCTAATTCATATTTGTCACCTCGGATATTTTTCAATGTCTATTATTTCATATTGTATTATAATTCTTTTTCTCCAATGGCATTCTACGTAGGTTTTTTAGCTTTGGCGGGCAAGCTAAAAAGAAAATTTCTTCGACTTCAACTACAACTTCGACTTCAACTTCAACTTCTACTCCAACGACTACTACCATTTTACAACAGCATGCTGTTGGCAGTGGAGGAAGCAGTAGTAAACGCAGGGGAAGCGATCGGAGTCTCTCTGGATCTGCTCATGAGTTGGCCGTCTGTGGTGTTCGAGATACAACGTCGGTGACTAGAGTGCCGCATTCTCACAGTCAATCAAATCTCACCGATATTCCATATAGGTAAACCATTGATTTAATACTTTTTAAAAGGCCGATAATATTCACTTGCTTTAGAAGGTACTCTTGCGTCTATGTTGCTCTTAGTACGCTTTTTGTTCTTTGTTAATCTCATCTTTATTTCTATTTTCAAATTCACATAACGATGCTTCTTAAAAGAATCCTTCAAAAGAATCAATCAAACTGATCAATATTATACAGTATATAAATATTATGTTACATGTACGTGTGAATAGAAATAATAAAATGTAATTAAAGTTTAAAAGGATGCACAGATTATGTGAAGAACATACAAGTAAAATAGTAAGTAGTGAACTTTTAGGAAATCAAAGTGTCGAATGGATTTAAGAAATTAATTCGTTTGATCTATTTTATTTTCAAGAATATTTGCACACTTTTTGTCTTGGTGACGCGATAGAAAAACCAACAGAATTGTAACTCTACAGATCAATTAACTACATACAGATCATGTAGTTTATATATATATATATAAAACTTTCGATGATGCAATGTCCTTTTCGAATTCGTGTTTCCGAAATAATAATCAGTAATGAAAAAGATAGGTTTTATTGGTGCGGTATTTTCAGGGGAGATCTGGCTCGACTTGTAAAGATTCCAACAAGGCCTATTCCGCATAGCGTTCAGTAAGTCCTGAAAATAATTTGATAGTTCCCTTAAATCTCTTGACTTGTTCCAATTTTTTAATAAGTCCTGTTATTCGATGTATTTTTCCACGGTGTTGTCGAGCACTTGTGAAAAACATTTCATGTATGCAAAACTCTTAATGTTCTGTAATATTTTCTAACATTCTATATTCCATCTCGATGTGCGAAGGGTAACTTCGCCCTATTTCAAAAACTTCCTTCCGTTACTGCATTCTAAATTCTTGAATCTCGGTACTCTATACTTCTTGCCATACATATATGTACATATATACTTACATACATATATCGTTTCGGCTATCTTTTTCTAATCTTTCGCTTCATGCCACACTATACATATTCATCTTTTATTCTCATTTCATTCTCAGTCTCATTTTCATCTTTACTTACTCTGTTATCATATCTACTAATTGTTTTTGCCAGCACCGTTTTTAATCTCCTCACGTGTCCAAAAATAAGCAGCTACAAGATATTCCGCATCATCTTGCTTGTCAAATTTCAAATTAATTTAAATTTTCTCGCGTGTTAAAAAATTAATCGAATTTATCCTAACTTGAAAGCTTATTCGTTTTGCGGTATCGTATACATGTAACACATGTTACATCATCGAAATATCTTGTATCATATGATTATTATCACGTGGTCGCGTCATCACCAATATTTTTATCTAACGTTAACATCAATTATCGGATCTTCTCCTTTTTGTGTAATCGATTTAAGTAGTTTCCAGATTCAAATATATGTATACGTACCTGTCTATATACCTATTATATAACATTACAACAATTTAAAATTTGAAATAGACGATTTAATTTATTCAATTCTCATTAATTGTATTTTATCTACTTGTCAAAAAGTTGGCTCCTCTTTTTTTCTCAAAAAAGCTATTTTTTTCTCTGTTGTTAAACAAAAGATGAAAATAAAAAGAGACAACGATACATCTTTAAGATTTCAATTTAGTTAAATGTAATTTCGTCAACAAAGCGTGTAATTTTCGTTTTGTGTGTTAAATAATACAATTATTTGCATGACTTGCCGATATATTGAAATAAGATAAGATGAAATGAAGTGAAACGAAACGAAATGAGATGAAACGAGATGAAACGAAATGAAATGAAACGAAACAAAACGAAACAAAACGAAACAAAACGAAACAAAACGAAACAATACGAAACGAAATGAAATGAAATGAAATGAAATGAAATGAAATGAAATGAAATGAAATGAAATAAAAACACGCCGTGATACTTTAACGAGAGAAAAAAGTAAAAACTAAATCATATAATAAAGTTCATGTTGTCAGGGATGCTGGCACATCGGAAACAGTAACTCGCCCTATGGACGATGTTTGCCCGTGGGACGTAGCTCCAGGACCGAGTATAGAACGCGTCATAGATACCACACAGCTACATCATCAAACATCATCTGGAATAATGTCGTCGGTTGAAAGTCAAGGAGAAGAAGGCAATAATTTGATTGCTCAGTCACAATCTGTCGAAGTTGTACGTGCATCTCGGAAAAATTCTTCGCAATTGGATTCCTGTAGTTCTTCATCTGATGTCAGTTTAGTGGTAGCAGAGGTCTCTGATCATCTTCGAAAGTCTTGTAGTTTGCAACACAGTAGTAGCACAGGTAAATATTTCGTAAATTAATTATGCATAAACTATAGTATTTCCATCCTATTGCTATATTATTTTCGCGAAGTGAAACTACTTACACTGCTAGCGAATATAAAAAGAAAAGAAAGAAAAAAAGAAAAAACTGAAAATACGATGAAACATAATGAAAAAGTAAGAATGTTATTTCTGTATGAAGATATTGTTATTAGTTGAGATAACTTCATTTGCAGATAGATATTTGTAGATATTTGTTGATTGCTAAAACAAACAATTAACAAACAGCAAGTGCAGCCTTTTATCGTGATCACTTTCTAATACAGCTGGTGTGACGACTACCGAACGAATTGGCATAACAACGCGAAATTATTCCATCGGCTCGACTAGCGGAAGAGTGAAACTTTCAGAGATCAGTCGGCCGTTCGCTTCGTCCTGTAATTATCCGTCGCCGCAACATTCGTTCGAGTACTCTCATGCAACTGACAGGTTGGACATGTCCATCACAGGGAAGGGTATTGCCGAGGTGTCTGAAACTAATACGAGGTCAAAGTCTCTTGAGAAAGAACTGACGACTAAATCTTTAACCAAAGCTCCTCTAATAAGCATTAGTGCAATCGTGGGCGATCTAGCGAGCGATATCTCTACAGTTGAAGCCGAGGGGGAAACGAATGATAATCATGCGAAGATAATAAAGGAAGAAGAGACAGAAGTCGAGGAAAGAAAGCAAAAGTTGGAGCCTGATAAAGGTGATGCAACGGTGGCAGTTATCGCCGAAGGAAATTTGGCAATTTCTGCTCAGGTAGAAACTGAGACGGAGGAATCGCTGGAAGAGGCGCAGGTTGTCCCTGTTTGGGAGCCGGACACCCAACAGGACGATCAAATAGCGCCCGTTACCCAATCAGCACCTCAGCAAAAGCGTGACAATAACGTTAACGAAGTGTGCCCGTGGGAAGACGAGTAAGTACACACTTCTGCTTAGCCAACTAATCTATCTATTTACTAATCTATCACTGTTACAACTGTCCAAGTTATTTAAGTTATTTAGTATTTGAACGTATTTATATTTATTTTCTTAGCAAGTTATAAATTATAACTTTGGAATTCGAATTTATAAAAACTGTTACGTTGTATCTTGGTATTTCAGTCTCATATTATTAAAATTTCGATTATAATATAATAAATTTGAAATATAATATAATATAAATTTTCGAACGCTAGCTTTGAACTCTTTTGATTAATAAGAACGTGATGTAGTAACAAACTGAACGTCCACAACGTTTGTTTCAGGGAAAACTGTAGAGTGGATGCACCCTATGTGAAAACCTATGCGACTTTAGGTTACTTGTAACTTGACATTGGTACTAATCATACATAAATTTTACATATAAACATTCGCAACTTTAATTATTATTTTACTTCACTTTTGCCAAGTTCGAGTGCCCGAGCTATCCGAAATATCGGCTATTATTTTTTCGTTTTTCCATTTTCAATCAATATCGATAAATTGACTGATTCGTCAAACTATTCGTCAGATTATTTTTTATTTCTAACATTTTTCGAGGTACATATATCTGAATCGTTTTAATGAAAGAAAAGAAAAAAAAAGAAAAGAAAAGAAAAAAAAAATGGAAAATATACGCAAAAAAAGATATTCGTGTGTGTTTAACAATAAAAAAATAATCACCAGTTATTTCGAACGTATGAACGATAATGTGTATACAGTAGAGCTTCCTTTAAATCGTTATAATAAACTCCCACCTGTAACGAATTTTCGATCTGAAACATTATCGATCATTTTGTCTGGAGTCTCACAATTAATACAGCATAACGTAAAAGTGTATAATGTGTATAACGTGAGATATCAAATTTTATTTTATTCTCAATTTGTGTAAATTTAAATAATAATTTCCTGTATACGGAAACGTCTCCGATTTCCGATTTAGATTCGATAATCGGCATAGAAGAGGTGCAATTTGTAGATGTGACAAATAGAATTATATCTCTCTATCCAACGCAATGAAATAATAATTAATACTTACCCGATTAAAAGAATAAACAGACTAGACGAGGTGTCACGCATCTTGAAAGATAAAGTCTCCAAATCGATCTACAAAAGTAGTAGTATTCTACAAAAGTATTAAATGCAAAGATGCATTCTATGGGTGCTAGTCAACTATGAGCCCATTGGCCGCTCCCTTAGCACGCAAATTTCTTTAATACTGTTTACGAACAATGAATAGAATAGCTTGGTATATTATAGTAAGTTCTGTATTTCTTTTATCGCATGGGAAAATGAAATTTTAAATGAATTTCATTTTCTATAAATGAATTCATTTCCTTACGGAAGGAAAGATATAAATAGTACATACGGAGAAAAGAGAAATTTTACTATTACGTATGGTGTATCATTGTACTAAATAATTAGTGCGAAACGGTAAATTAAAATATTCATAAAATACCATAAAACATCTACGTGATTTAGATCACTTATAATTAGCTTCACTTGATGAGATCACTTCAATGTCGTGATGTTTGATTGTCGTTTAATCTAAATGTTAGTCATACATTTATCCGATATATAATAAGTGTCTAATGACAATTATTTAATGTAACTTTAGCTTGCTTACGGCCTCATATTACAACACAACGGCCTGTTAACGACTTTTGAAAAGTACAGATAAAACGAAATTGTTCGATTTTGATCCTAAATATTTGTAAATCGTTGCTGTCTATAATTAGATCGAGTTGAAATTAAATAGGAAAGAAACAAGTTCTCACGAGAGAAGAATATAACAATAACGATTCGTTTGTTTATTACAGAGAATATTGAGTCTTGTTCTCTTGAGAGAGAGAGAGAGAGAGAGAGAGGGTAGGGGGAGGAAGGGAGGGGAGAGAGAGAGAAATTTTCTCGAGATGTAACATTTATTAGTACTATCACTGGGTTCTGAGTATTGTTACTGCCCCAATATTCAGATCCCACGAATCGAAAATAGAAACTTACGTTTAAGAAATATTTGACAAAACAATTGCACTTAAACTCGAGGATGCAATTTTTCCTTTTTTAGTGAATTTATTCGACTGCTTATTAAATACCAGAATGATATTGATGTCTTTTATCATAAGATATTAGAATTAGAAAGACAATGATAAAACACTAGTACTTGATGAAGTACGTAGTATAATAAATGGAAAGGATTAATTTCATTGTAGATTATATAACAAAAAGATTCGATTAACAATCACGATATAAGATAAAAGCACAGGTTCGAGATCACATTGTGCTACTATTTTTAATATATATTGACAAAATCGATAGGTAATCGATTTGTTTTTAAATCGAAGGATCTTTGAAACTGAAACTACGAACAATAGTGAAGTTTTATCATTACTTTGAATTACATACATATATACAAATACAGATAGTATTAATTTATTTTTTATATTCTTTGAACATGTTTTCTTTTCTTTCTTTCTTTCTTTCTTTCTTTCTTTCTTTCTTTCTTTCTTTCTTTCTTCCTTTCTTTCTTTCTTTTCCCCTTTTCCCCTTTTCTTTCAACATAAACATTCGTTACATTGTATTTATATATAAAAACATATTTGATAAGTGTTTTCAAAATAAAATTTTAAATAGCAATGAGTTTAGTAACGATAGTTATAAATAAATTTCGAATGAAAGTTCGGGCACTCGAGACTAGTCTTAAGAAATCTAACGTATTCACGACGATCATACTGTTAATTCAAAAGCTCAATTTAACTATTGTAAAGATCCTTATGAAAATTAGATAGTTGATTAATAAGATAAAAGTGACGTTATTATAGTCCCTATGAAAATGAATATAATATACGAATCATAATGAATACGATATAGATATTCAAAATATTCTGTTAGTCCCGGCATTAGCAAAGGTAGTTTTGACGTATGACTGACAAATAAATCTTATTTACGAACTGCGATGACTCGTGAATAGTAACGATTCCGACTTGACTTACATATGTACGCATATGTAAGTATATACCACCTTCTAAAAAAAAAAAAAAAAAATAAAATAAAATAAAATAAAGAAAAAGAAGAATTTCGTTCGATGAAGCATGCAACAATTATTATAGCAAATAAGCTTCGAAACGAATCAAAAAGCTATTTTTGTTCTCTTTTTGCAGAGACATTTTATATACATAATATACATAATGCATTACTGTTCCGTCGTTAAAATTTGAATCACAGATCATGGATAATAGATTCTACTTGCTATTGTTTAACTAATTCACTTGTCGTTATTGTATAATACAAGGGGCAATCGAAAGGATCGTTGTGCGTCCTGAATCTTTAAGCGCCATCTGATTTCACGTTCTCTTTTTTCGTATGTTAACGTGTTTTTATCCATTAATCGGTTAAATGAAACATTTCATTGACATATATAAAGGTCACAGTAGCGAATGTGTGTATCAGTTGGCGATTATTTTTTCATTAGCGATATTAGCGACGCAATGTGTGCACTTTTGCATGATGATGGCGATGATGATGGCGATGATGATGGCGATGATGATGGCGATGATGATGGCGATGATGATGACGACGACGACGACGACAACGACAACGACGACAACGACAACGACAACGACAATGACGACGACGACGACGACGACTATGATGATGGTGGAGGTAGTGGTGATGGCGGTGATATCAGTATTATGAATATAAAAAGACAGTGTTCATAAACGACAACAAAGTACAACAAACTATAACGATCGATAATTATTTTGATATTATTATTTTGAAGATGAATACCGATATGCACTGTTGGATAAATTTTTACGAAATATTTTTTATAATTCATTATCATTATTTTCAGCAGGCACTAATATTTTCAAAAAAATTGACGCAGTATATACAAAATTTCGAAATAATAGCTCACTGTTGTAATTTCTATTCTAGCTAACAGTAAGTATCGTTATTGTTTGTGACGCGAATTGTCTTGTACGATATAAGTAGAGATTTGATTGCCGAACGAGTTTCGAGCTATGTCAAGCTTTCGGGTAAAAACAAGCGCAAATAAAATCAAGAAAAAGAAATATTACATTATTTGATTGTACGATTCGGATTATGTTGCTCCTCGTACTTTAATATTTCCAAATTACGTACAAAGTGAAACAATCAGACGTTTGTTTCATCGATTTTTATCTTTCCTCCATTTTTAGATTCGCCAATAGTACAAATAAAATTTAAAGTATAGCGTAATTTACGGGTAAGCCTGACTCAGATAAAATCTAGACCTAGCCCAAACAGTAAATAACTTTTAAGACTTATTTGAATAAATGAAATTGCTGTTAGTCAGAAAATTGAAATTTATTCGATTCGGTTATCGACTGTTGGAATTATACATAGGTATTTCGAAGTAAAGTCGATTATTAAAATTATCACAATTTTCATTACTTATCCTTATTTATATACTGTTACTGTTCTCCGATACGATGATCTCCTCATATCTACGACATCCCTCAATATCTACAATACAACTGTGCTAGATAAGAGAATGAGCCGTGTTTACCAGGAAAAGACTGAAAACGTACCTGAAATTTGCCTCTCCCTTGAAAATGCATGTAAAAGGTTCTAAGACTAACTAAGTTTTAGAATAGCTAGTATTCTGTCTCATCGTTTCGATAAAAAAAAAAGAAAAAAAAAAGTAAAACAAAGTAATAATAAAAGAATACATCGACAAGGACGAAGAAGATAATTAATTAAGCGACGTAGGTGAGAAAAGAGGTGACCGATTCAAGATTTCAGCGATCCTTGACGTGTCCCGAGATGTTTCATCTGTATTTTGTATTAGATCGATCCATCGCCAAATCGTTTTAACGAATGTGCTAAACATGCGTATCTAGTGAATTATACTAATAGAACTGAGAAACTAGCGTAGAGAGATTCTTACCGCACCGATATAATAACATTTATTCAGTAACATGCTGTTCTTGTATCATCGACTCAAAGAGAAATATCGTTTCAATTTCAATTGGTTTTTCAATGCACATTGATTTTCGTAAAGACGATTCAAAGAAAGTTACAATTGGAAGGAATTTAAGAAAAAAATGTCGATAACGAAATAAAATTTTCAGAAATTTTAAGGAAATACATTTGCACGAGGCAGAACAGTTGAAGAAATGCATCCTGATATGTATGTACATTTCCTACATTTGAAATCTTTGACAATTGTTTTCGATTATGGCGTGATTCTGTATCGCAATATTTGATAATGAACGAAAGGAAAAGAAAGGAAAGGAAAGGAAACGAAAATAAAAGAAAAGAAAAAAGAAATACAATCTTTTTGCAAAGCGCATTGTCAATGAAAGATTTGCGAATGAAAAGTAGAAACAAAAGCAAAAGGAGAAGCAGAAAGGATCGATTGAACAGATGTTATAATACAAAATTATATATATATATATATATATATATATATATATTTATGTATTATGTATTGGTTGTTGAAACGTTCTGTATGCGAGCAATGATAAAAATTAGACTATTAATACGAAATAAAACCGAAAATTGTCTCTGAAAAATCGAGTCCAAATGTATGGATTTCGTTGCATTTTAAATCAATTGTGGACGTTGAATAGTTGCTTAAATAATAATATTACAATAGGACGTACGTATGAATGAGGGGAAACGAAGTAAGTAAGTAAATAAGTAAGTATTTACGATGACCTTTGTATTAGTTAGATTGCGTTAGTGACTTGCGATGCGTCTATCACAACTTATTTTGAAACTGTATTATTGACATGTTGAACACATTATTGTTCACTGAATAACTAATTATTACCACATACATATAATAAAGTACATGCAAAAGAATGAAACAAATAAAACATGTTACTACTTACTTAGACATTTGAAAACATGTTGTACGATATAAAAGGCTTTAGTGTATATAGTTTTGTAAAGTATTAACAATGTATAGACTCAAAAAGATGAAAAAAGTATATAGAATGTTGAACCGACAAGATATGTTGTTCGTATTAATCGAGGCCGATGCAAATTACGAGTTTTAATTGAGAAATCGGACCTCGACCAACCGCAACGCGATTCAATGAACAATACACCTGTATAATATGTAGGTATACAATGCATACGCACGCACACGCACGCGCGCGCGCGCGCGCGCGCGCGCGCGCACACACACACACACACACACACACACACACACACACACGAGTATGTAAGTACTTATGTACGTATAATACGCGTGAAGAGAATTGTTGCATTGAAAACGTTTTGCGGCTTATAATTAAACAAATGATTGTTTTGTTAAATGTAGCTGCATTTACGCGTATGTAGGTATGTATGCGTACACATGCACACGCACACGTATACGTAAAAGCAGAGAGAATGTTATTCGTTACAAACCTATATAATATGTGATATCTGCGTATTATTTTAAGCTGTCAATAGAATGTCCTAATACTAATACTAAATACACCATAGTGAGATTAAATTCTGTGTCATATTGAATTAAATTCCCGACATCTCCTTTATTTATTCAAGAAAGAAAAGGAGAAAAAAATAATAACTTTTCAAAAGTAAGCAAAACAAATTTTCAAACTTCTCATCTATAGTCGTATAAATCTTTGCAAAGATCCGTCCATACGAGATGTTATTTCATTATACTATATCGTGCACAACGAATGTAATTGATTCGTATGTACTGAATAAATAACAGCCAGATAGCAATAAAAATAGGTAGTAATAACGATGATAACGTACTATAAATTTACTCACTGAATCAAATAAGCTTACTGTTTATTATTTAATCTTAATCTAACAAATATCATGTACCTACATTATTCAATAAATACGTAAATAGGTACATGTACGATAGTAGGAATTCATCGTATAAGAAATAAATAGAAAAAATGGTGGATACACGGATTGTCAAATATCTTACTCTACTTATTAATGTATGTACATACTTGGGTTGTTATGAAATAAATTGGATAGTTATCCATGGTGTGGAAGTTGTTTAATAGCAGATGTTGATCGTATTTCAACGTACAAAATCAAATGTAAAGTCAGATGCCAATTAAAATGGGCCAATTTGAATTAAATTTGCTAAATTAAAGTTTTGAATTTTAATGAAATTTCTTACAAGTGGGGATGCTTGATGGGGTGTTTTATTCGAGTAACTGTCTTCTAGTTGTGTCTGCCAAAAACATAACAAATAGTTATTGAAATATTAAAATACCTACAACAATTCTGTCAACTTGCATCTGTCAGGTGCAAAGATACAGAACCATCATTGCAAGCACAGCGTTTCAATTCCTTGCGAAGTAAGTTGTTATCTGACGCGTAATTGAAATTTGTTTAATAGCAGCGGCAACGTTCCGAAGGGCAATTGGAAGGATAAACTAGACACTTGTCCATGCAATAAATGCTCGCGCCGTCTTTGCCAGCAATGTCTCCGATCGCATCGCACACTTCCCTGTTACAAAACATACGATGAAACGTTTAATAAATTTTTTCATAAAATTTCACTCTTCGATAAACTACGATAAACTACTACACCATTCTTTATTAAATAAAGCAAAGAAACTAAATTAGTTATTTTCGTACATAGCAATGTACGAAATCGTGGAATTGCATTGCAAGTTTGTTATATACGAGTGAAAAGGTACAAAATTGTAAAAAATATCACGAGACAATACACACGGCCCAATTTATGTTAAATTGATGATTTGGCTCGATCGAACAAACAGCCAATCTATAGTTTGTCAAAAAACTACTGTTCGTTCCTACAAAACAGCTTTTGCAAGACATTCTCCAAAAGAGAATGATATATATGTACATACCAGGTAGGTATTTGTAGATAGTAACAAATAATAATTATTACATTTATTATCGACAAACGCAATTGTCATTAAGACGAAATTCTCGAATTAAGAGCGTCGAGCCGTTATTTTCTTAAAAGATGTACGATATATGTTATTGTCAAAACAACTTACGGGCATTGACAAATAGCCGCTGGACAGTTTGGCGGATAGCGAAGACAATTAGTTTGGCACCAGTCGCTCATTCCTGGTATACGTCGGTAAAGGAAAGTGGACATGCACACCTGAGATCTGTCGACCGAAGAACAGCTTCTATTAATAAGTTTGGTGCCTGTGTTAATTGTGCAGAAATGTACACTTACCTAACGACGAGTGGGAATATATTGTTTGGAGAACGGTAGTCTTTGTAATAGAGCAAGAAGGGATTGTCCTGTTGTACAAAGAGGGGTGGAACTCCAGCCGTGCTAGTAACAATGCTCACATCGGCGCAATTTCGAAACGTCTCCGGTCTTCCACACCCGTTTGCTTCAGTTCCATTTTCACAAGTGCCCCACATATTACCTAATACAACAATTATCATTCGTAATACACGGATTGCGAATCTATAAAAAGAATTTATAAATATAAATGGTTAAATATACAGCTGAAACATTTGAACTTGCGCTGCAGCGCTGTCGCATTTTAGAAACATATGTGCTACATATACATGTGTACATACATTGTAAATAGCAGCTTTTCTTTCAATTCAAAAGAACAGTGACAGTGAACAGTAAATTGCAAAAATCATTAGCTGCAAGTAGATACAGCGAAGTTCGTATATCTATCGTATAGAAGCAAATATTACGTAAAAAATACAAACCAGTGTAGTAGTTCCATTGAATCACACACTGCGTACAAGTGACGTACGGCGGTAATGTTACCTTATATCGAAATATAGCTTTCCTTTCAGTGTCCGCAGGTATCTCAAATCGAACGTCCCGGGTCCCAGATATATACAACGGATACCTTGAGCAACGATTTCATCAGAGTTACTTTTACGAGTATCTTTGAAAAGGGGATAATTATAATTTGACGATGGATACTTGTTTCCAAGAGATGTTTCGAGGCAGTATCATTTCGAATCGTGAACGTCTCAAGACTCTCGATTATCTGAACTCGATGCAAAGTTTGAAAAGTATAATAACAGTGTAATAATTGCTGTCTAGTAAAGTTGCTGTTGACAAAAGATGCTTTAAATTTAATATTTTTAGTACGATATTTTGTACGTACATATGGTTGTATCAGTCACCGTCATTTTTATATTTTATATATCGGTAAAATTCAACGGAGTATGTATGTATCTGTATCTATGTGAATACTGCATTGGTAACAAAAGAAAATGAAATAAAATTAAATCTTGAAAATTTAAACATACCAGTGTACTTGCATCTGTATTAATGAGAGTTAATAATATAATATAATAATATAATAATAATATAATATCGATACTACAACGAGGAACTATTTTGGAACAAACTAATTGCAATTGCATGCTACGACATACTAATAACTAATAAAACGAAGAATGCAGTGGGAAGTAAAGTAAGTATAAAAGCAATTTAAAATATGTGTGTCGCGTGTATAGTGCTTTTACTTGCTACAGAGCGGGTACAAAAGACAATTTGTACAAAAGACATCTGCACAAATTAGCATTGAGATGAATCAATGTCATCAATCAAAAATTTTGATTACCTGTCAAAGCATTCCTGGTTTGCCACATGCCTTGGATTGTTATTTGGACAAAGATACATTTCGAATCTTCCTAGATGGTTGGCTGTAAGCTCAATCTCAACATCGATATCCTATAAAAATATAGATTCGGATCGACGATGTATTCGACTAATTTAATTCGATCGATTTAATTTGACTAATTTAATTAAAAATTCAAAACATAGACAGAGAGAGAGAGAGAGAGAGAGAGAGAGAGAGAGAGAGAGAGAGAGAGAGAGAACACTTTACCTGACCAACTGTGTAATGCCGAACGATAGTGCCCTTTGCATATTCGCCACCCGCTTCGTGTGGTCTCGGTTCTTTCAACTGATAAGCATCGCCACAAACTCCACACTGACCTTTGTTCTCCACCCATTGCACTATAACCGATAATTATATTGCATACATGTCAGCGTGTCAAAGAATCGCCACATAATCGCTATATAAATACGTGGTTCGTGATCCCGTCGCGTTTTTACTACATGTACATACACTGTATATTAAATCAGAGTGAAAAGTCGATCTTGACGGCTCCATGAAAAGTGGAGCTGACCGGTTTTTACACCAAGCCCTTGAATCTCTCTTAAACGTATATTATGTAACGCGACATAAATTTCAAGCTGTATTTTATTCATCGTCTACCTATTGTACAATCTACATTCAAGCTTCTCTATTGTTGCTCTTTTACTCACTAGAGATATAGATATCGAGATAGTAGATATTTATTATTAAGGTAACCATTGTGAAATAACGAACCTGCATATCCGCCACAGAAGAGTTCGTTATCATTGTAATTTACAGGATTTGGATATCCAAAACGCCACATACTATTTCGTGCAGGTGGGTCCATTAAACGTCCATGACCATGTACATGAATGCAATTGGGAACCTTTAAAATCATTACTTTATACAACTAGAAATATTATTTCGGTACTACACATTGATACGTCGTTTACAATTGCAATTTTACAATTCTCAGTAAAACGAACTAAATTTATTTGTTTATGATAATTCAAATAATTTTGAGTGAACGCAAAACATCTCGCAATTTATATATAATTAATTATCATAGATCATTGGAATAAACGTATTAACATTTGTATTTCTCAATCAAACTTTGTAAAATTCAAATGAAATAACGATTATCGTACATGTCCGATAACTATATTTTATATTTACCTGAAGAAAGAAACAGGTTATTAAAAATATTATATTCCGACATCGATATCTGCTAATCATGACCACCTAAAACAAGATTTTCAAATGACAAAAAAGTTCAGATCTTTATATTTTTATTCTCTCTCTCTCTCTCTCTCTCTCTCTCTCTCTCTCTCTCTCTCTCTCTCTCTCTCTCTCTGGCAGAATACGTAGACAGGAAATTATTCTATATATTATTCTGTACATTCTATATAAATCAAATACAATTTCGTTTTTGAGAAAATCAAATTTGTATAGTAATGAATGATGAAGATGATGATGGCAATAATGATAATGATAACGCTAATGAAACAATAACATGACATTGCTGTAATAAATATATTAATGAATCAAGCAAAGTGTCCTTGAAACTATGTTTAGCATTGTAACAGAGTACAATGAATTCGTGAAGGTGCAGAGATTTCAACTGTTGTGAAATTAAAAAAAAAAAAACATCCATTTACATAATTAGCTAACGATAGTAATAATATCCGCTTTGATTTACGTACGATAGGATTATTTACATCTCATTTTTAATCATGTTAGAATAATAATTGGCATCAAAATGATCGTCAAGTGGCGTCATATGAATGTAAACTAAATGTAAACTAAATGGTAAAAAATAATGAATTCAATTCGCTGGAAATGAAAGCTTCCGTAAGAATATAAATGTATGTAAGTATGTACATATGTACATATATACGTGTCTACGTATACATACATAGTAAATATCAATCAGGCTGAGTTGACAATTGAAATGTTTTTCTTAATAAGAAAGTATTTCATGAACTAACGAAATTGATACAAAAGTACAAGTGCATACTAAATTTCTACATTTTTCTAAGTATACACATGTAGATAGGTATCCATACATATATACAAAAGAAAATATACATAAGATTTACGTTTCATATCATGCGATATGACGTAGTAATGTATTTTAATACATAACACGTACATTCATACATGTATACATATATACATATATACATATATATATATATACATTTGTTAGAAAATGTAAATTTTTCAACTTTTCTTCAATCAAAGATGTAGTTTACTCTATTTCTAGCTTTTTCTGAATATCTTCATTTATTTCATCATTAGTGATCAAGTTTATCATATGCGCTCGAGTCTAACAACACTTGTTCCGTTATTCCAGTACAACCTGTGCTTGTGTCTTTTTATAAAAAAAAAAATTTAAGCTTACGATAATCACATAGATTATTTATGTACATAAGTTATAGCAGAATCAAAAGAAATCTATTCCAAAGGTCCGTAATACCAATCAAAGTTGTATCTACTACATGATGATCATTAACTTGAAATACCGAATGAAATTAGCATAAATTTAAACTGACATTAAACCAGTCGAATGATAATATCTTTGCACGTGTGAGTGGACATGTTTGACAATCAATGGAATTATAAAACCCGCAATATACCTACACGTATCTAAAATTTGATATGTTTCAGCATACGAATTAAGCGTCGTAGATGTTGAACAAACGTACTTTTGTTACTTACTATATTACAGGATGTCATTCGATCATTTTGCGATGAAACAACACAATGAGACATCGTACCATTGAACAATAACATTCTCTTCCTTTCAAATCATACGTGAATGAAAAGTGTATAATAATAATAATAATGATAATATGTTATGTTAGAATAACAGAGTAAATGTAAGATGGATAGAATACAAAGAAAAAGAAAAACTTGGAAAATATCAGCGATCTTTATGGCGATTTCATAAAGAAGTACAAGTAACGATATAAATTAATCAAAGAGTGCGTAATTTGAGAAAAATGGTAAACTTTTAACTTTTAAATTTCGATTACTTTGAAAGATGTACTAAATGAGTATTAGAACCAGATGAAAACACTTGTCGAGTACAATTAGTGATTAACATTTTTTCCATTTACACACATACACACACATATATATATATATATATATATATATGACTGAAATTTTTTTCCGCATTTCAATATTCTTAAACTTACCCTTATGTTTATCCTTTATCAACGGAATTCGGTAACTCGAGATAAATCGGTGTATCGCCTTTCTCCAAAACGGCGAAGGTTAACCAGGTCTTTTTTTACTCGCTTTTAACCAACTTGTGTCTTTTTTTTATCGGATAGTGAGATATTTTTCATGTTGCTGAATGATAATTTAGCAGCTAGATTTTCGTGAAATATTGTTCGTCAAATATTATACATAGAAAACCAATGACCGTTTTCATCTTAATCATATTTTTCTCTTTCTTATCGAACAAGATAGTCGAAGGATTGGGAAATATTTTAACAAACATATGGAAGAAAAGAGTAGATAAGAAAGAATGCTGTACGTAACCAATCGAAATTTTTTTATTGGGATACAAGGCAGAGTTGCAGTCGATGCGATCTAATGTTAACGAGTGTTAAATAATAACGATTCATCCGATTTGTCCATCGAACATGATAACGTAAGAATTGGTAACATAAGAATCACGACAGCTCATGTATAAATAGCTTATAAATAGCTTAAAAGCTGTACAAAAGCAAAGCATGAGCTTTTTCTGAATACATTCATATAATTGCGATTATTGTTAGATAGAATCATAATAATTAAGATTAAAAGATGCAATTTGTCAAAGTTTCTTGTATATAAATCGTGATAAAAATATGTCTCAATACTGGAGGAAGATAAAAGAATTACGAAATGAAACAAAAAAGTCATAACAACCGACAATTAGACGATAGTTAGATAGATGTTGGTACAGATGTACATGATTAATTCTCTCAGTCGTGTGTTAAAAAAAAAGTTTAACGTTCTCATTGCTTTCTTTCTTTCTTTCTTTCTTTCTTTCTTTCTTTCTTTCTTTCTTTCTTTCTTTTTTTTTCCTACATACGTATTCTATGTACATATATATACAGATATATACAATCGAAAGTTTAAATTTAGAAAGAAAGAACATATCCAAGTTGTATATATACGTACGCACATATGTACACATGTATCTTTACATACGTATTAAGGCCAGCGAAAAGATTAGTTTTTATTTTTCAATTGTATTTGCAAATATTAAACAAAATAGATAATAAAATTTTAAGGGGTCTGATTGTAAGGAGTTTAACTACAAAGCGATCTTGTAATGATATTATTATTGCAGAGAGGAAATTTTGATCGTTTGATCGACATTTCAGAATAAACTGTCAAAATTGTTGTTTTCTATCTAATAAACAAAAAAATTGGAAGGAATGGAATAGTAATCGAATCGTGGAAGGAATATCCGAAATCAGCATTCGCTGTTTTAACATGCATGTAGCATGTTCACGAGATAACAGAAGAGAAAAAGTTAAAAGGTTTTTAAGAGAGACATTGGCTTTTTGCATCGAGAACATTGTCGAAGGTTGGTGACGACTAAAATCTGAATACACGTATTATGAATCACGTGAAGCATCATCCGTATTATAATATATATATTTTTTGTTAATATTGTTACTTGTACTTACTTACTTACTTACTTACTTACTTACTTCATGTACATACTACACTTTAATTCGATCGAATGATGTATGTATAGGGATATTAGTAACAATACTTGTGATATTCCTTTTATTAGGTTCTTTCCAATTTTGCAAATGTGTTGTAATATCAAAAAAAATCAACAAGAGTCTTTAAATGAATCGTACGTAGCAAAATTATTACGTACAGTTGATAAAACATTACCGTAATAATCGTTTGCAAAATCGTAATCAGAATGCATTTGAAAGATATGCATTGAAAATATGTGACATGTTTTCTTTCTCCACTTTTGAATAGTTATCGAGACTTTCGATCGTAAAACTTTCGTGGAACTTTTCGCATTTCAGACGACAATAGACTTGGATGGATAAAAGATACGATAAAGGCAAACAGCGGATTCGTCCTTTGAGAATTCGAAATCACTCGAGCGATGATTTTTTTCATAAGAACGCAAGTACGCCTTCCAACAATTTGTATGCTAATTGTAATTGTTGTTTGTATCATATGTGGCTAGATACGTGAAATTTCATATTCTCACATGCGTGTGAACGCTTATGGTTCTAGAATTTATGGATAGCTCTAAAAGGATAATGGTTCTTTCTTTTAGACAAGTTTTTGTCCTTCGTTACATTTAAGTTCGGTTTGACGACAGAAGAATATCGAAAACAAATGTAAAATAGTGAAAATGAGAGAAAGGAATGACGGAATTCTCTTCAGTCAAGGTTTCAGTCAATGTTTTCTGTCAAGGTCACGAATAAAATAGAAATTCGACAATCGAGAAACATAGATTCGTCGTTAGCTAATTTCTAGCTAACAAAAAGGAAACATCACAATCTACTCGATCGTAATGTAATTTTCGAATGTTTTCTATTGCTGCGCTACTGGATGTAAAATCTTTAGCAGCAAAACTATTGATTACTAACTATTAATTTACAACCGTTGAACAACTTTAGAGATGAAAAACGCTATTCGAAAAACGCATGCTTTTGCTTTATCTAAATATTAAAATATTTGTATTTCCCGCCCGGTGTGAGCCGTCCTTTACAATGAATTCGCAAATGGTCTTTGTCGATCTTTGTGAATCTTTCAATTTTATAGCGGGAAACCGTTTTGACGGTTCTTGCCAGATAAAGCTGTAGATCGTGAAATGTAAATCGTAAAATAAGCAACGTGCAATCGGTACCGCAAGAACGGGAGGATACTTACTGGTGAGTGCGTGATCAGAATCTTAATATCGATGGTCGAACGATCGCTGTAGGTGAAAATTGTCTAGGTCACTCGTTTGCTGGAGCAAGAAAAATCTTTTTAGGGGAGATTTCCCTATTCGATAATCACCTTTGAATTTCGTAAATCGTTCTCTACGTTGAGACGTTGAGACGTTGAGACGTTGAGACGTTGAGACGTTGAGACGTTGAAACGTTGAAACGAGAAAAGCGTATACTGTTCAATGAGAAACGGACAAATAAAATCAACTCGTTCAAATTTTGCGTGCACAAAGTTAATTGGAGTGTTAATTAAACGAAACGTACAATACAACAAAGTGGCAGCATACAGCGGTCGTGATGTCGCGCAGTCGAACGAACAGACACGAATGCGTTGGCGCGAACGAATAATGCTCGTGCGACATAGCGTGGGCTGCCACAGCCGAAAAACTTGACTACCACCACCCAAGAGTAATAGCATCCGAAATCCGAGAGCAAAGGATCAACAGTCAGCTTGGTTTCCAGTCAGATAATACTAGCGTGGAACAAAACCATCTGCAAAACCATCGCACTAAAATCGAAAGTTATTTGACACTTACAACGTTTTTGACGAGACTGCCAACACTCGTTTATGTTCTACGAAACTTTATTCTACGACGGAATGCCTCTGTTAGCTTGATTGTTTCCCTATTTACCAATTATGTCACGTGTCACGAAAAGAAAAGAGTGTATATATATATATATATATATATATATATATATATATATATATATTTTTTTTTTTTGAAAAAATAATTTGGGGTAATTTGAAACTTGATTTTTATTGAAACAATTTATATGAATGTATGTATCGTACCTATTTATTTTCATTAAATCGCTCCAACTGTGATTTATCTGTGCACAAGTGTATGCATATACACACAAGATATATCGATTATTTCGATTGTTTCGTAAAAATTGGATTGACACGCTCGTTCAAGCAAACAGACGTTCTTACGTGGTACGTAAGTCCATGTATAATGATATAAAGAGGTCAGGAACGATGCAAATATTAGTACAAGATTTTCGAATGTGACAGATGAAATTGGCTCAACATTGAAATTAATCTCATCTCGTAACAAGCCAGTTTCGCAAGTAACTTGCTTACTTACAAGTGCATTAAGGAAAGCACAGAAATTTTACTTTCACTTTCATTATTCGGTTAGTCGTTATTCGCAACAATTGACAGACCCATTTTTATTCGTCTCACGAAACGTAATGGCATTTTAAAATCAAGCAGACGCTAGTCGCGCAAAGGGAAAGCCAGAGTCTTGAGTATCTACGTACGTACTTATGTACGTACATAATACGTACGTAGCCAGCCATTCGCCTTCTTCATTCATTCCCATTACATATGTATACGTTTGTTTACTCATCTTATGTACATACATACGTAGCTATTGCATCGATATAATACTTGTTGTAATGTATGTATCTATTTTAACACGTGGGTATAGGTTTAGATAGTTAATAGCATCTATTAAACAATCATACGAAAGCACGTATGTATGTACATTGTAAAAGTGTCTAGTAAGTCTCTAGGTCCATCTATTCTTTTTTCATTTACAATTACTTCGTAATCTTATTGCGTAACGCAATGAAATTGTTATTCACGAATTCGATGTTCACTATTCGACATAATCGAATCGAGCAGGAACTCGTTGTTCCGTTTTCCCCTTGAGAGAAAAAAACAAAGAAACGCACGAAAATAAATTCAAGGCACTTGCGTTCCTTCATAACGAATCTCTGTTGATGAATCTCCGTCGGCACGATATGAAAATGATTGCCTGCAGAAGCGCTGGCAGAATTTCTCAAGTTGAAAGCGATTCGAATCGGCGGTACTATAAGTCGCGCCATTAGATTTGAACATTCGTAAAAGTTCGTGCACGTCCGTGTTCGCTCGAAAACCGTGCCACAGGGTTGGAAGCTGTAAGTTGGAAGTACATGTTTATCATCGGCAGTTAAACACGTTGATTCACATGGTCGTAGTGACGACGTGACCTACGTTGGTACCTGGGAGTTCGTTTCCCTGCTATTTTTCAACAAATATTAAAAATATTCGAAATATTGGAGATATTGAACTCGAACTCAAACGAACAAACGAAAATTATATCACGAGCAACGTTTAGTTAAAAATTCGCGGTCAAAGTGAAACTGAACGATTCGTGAATGTTCGTACAATTTCGGAAGCGATCAAACATTTCCTGCGCAAGGATCAGCAGAGTGTTACATCGGTGGTCAGTGTGAATCTGTCCTTTTGGGGGAACGTTTTGTCTGCTGCGAATTTCTCGTGAAATTTAACCTCTAGGCTGGTGTTGGAGTATCAAATAACAAGATGCTCGCTAACAAGTGTCAAACTGTACTCTCTATTCGAAAATTTTCACGACAATTGTTTAAAGGTACAAAGCTATTTTTACAAATTTTTCTAATTCAGTAACTTTCATTGTTTCATTCGTTCGTTCGTTCGTTCGTTCGTTCCTTCCTTCCTTCCTTCCTTCTTTTCTTTGTTCGTTCGTTCGTTCGTTCGTTCGTTCGTTCATTCATTCATTCATTCATTCATTCATTCATTCATTCATTCATTCATTCATTCATTCATTCTTTTTTTCTTTTTGCTTTTTAAATTTTAAACAAGCAAAATGGAAACAGCAGTAGCTAGCGGTATTTCGCCGAGTAAATCAGTCCGCGCACGATACAACCAAGAAATCGATAACTCGCTTTTCTCCGTCAATCTCCTTTTTTTCAATCTCGTCTTTTCTTCATCCTCTGAATATAATAATAACTGTATTTTTCTTACCGTTGTAATAATAATTCAGCATTTCAATATGATGTATAATAAATAAGCAAACGAGCAATATATCAAAACCAAAAGTAGAAAACAAAGTTTGCAAATTGATTGAAAATAGTGGAATTGTCGTATTGTTCTATCGTGTTATACTTGTACTTTATACAAGAAACACTCAAAACATATTACACTCCGTGGTCATTTTATTCTAATGGAATACTTGGATTCTATCCTCGAAAGATAATCAAATTTTGTATTGTTCAACAATTCCAACAAGTATTACATGCTTCAGTATTATATGTGTAGGTATACGTTTATACATAAGTGCATGTAAGTGTACCAATGGTCGTTATTATTCCTTTGTTGTTATTCCTTTCTCGACCTTTTGAGCCTCCATTGTTTCCTTTTTATCTGAAAAAAAGAAAAAAAGAAGAAGGAAAAATCCCATTTCGTCGCTTATCTTATCGAAATCAGAAATATCATGTCAATTGGACGAAACATCGATGTTTATACGTACGAAGTATCTTCTTAAACAGCTACAGGAAGCTATTTAACAAGAGAGAGCCTGTATTTTGAGAAATAAATTCCAAATGTAAGTAGTCGTACATATTTTCTACATGTGTACAGAAATATGTGAATCGTACGAATAAATTGATTGATTTATTTGATTGAAAATTTTTAATTCAACGTGCATCGTAGATGCTTCGATCATCATTGTTAGATATAAAACATATAAACTCGGCACCGCACCATGTAGAAAATTCCACGAACCGTTATAAATAATTAATCTTGAGTTTACCAATGCAAACGGTTTAAAAGACGAAGAAAGATAATAATAATTTGAAAAGCTATATAGCAAACGTAATGCAGATCCAGCCATAAAATAATACCTACCATCGCAATCTATTTGTACGTACGTACATGATACTCGTTGGGACGGTGGGGATACAAAAAATAATCATCTAAATACATATGTTCGAGCAATATATAGGCTTCGAAATTTTCGACGATACATAAATTTATCGCTATCAGTTGTGATAACGATTGTAGAGGTTTACCAGAAATTAATTCTACGCGATAACACCGATCCAACAAGTAACTTGTTAGTTATTGTAGTAGTGGTAAATACAGAAGAGATGATAACCTGCTCGAAACTCAAAATATATTCTTTACGGGTGAGAAATTCGTTTGTTTTCAAAGATGATTGTCGTTAATAAGGAGAGATGTATGAGAAAGCTAAATGAGGAAATACGAAATATGTGGAATTATTCTCAAGTACGATGCTGAGTAGGTACGCATAAATGTGTTGGCACAAAAGTGTACATGTGTACATGCATTGATACGACAACCAATTACTCGTAACTGACATCAATGAAACTAAATGCTCGATCTATTAAATCGAGGGTTCTGAATAACGTGATTGAAGTCAACGTTGCACGTTATGCCAGTCTATTTTAAAATAAATCTTATCAACAGGAAAGAATAAAACACGACATCTTACATTCGATTTGACTTGGATAAAAGGCATTTTGTTCCGTATAGAACATGGTTATTTATTTATATAATTTGCATTGAAAAGATAATTTTTTTAAATGATACACGTACCTATGTACATGTGAAGGTGTGAGAATATTCAAAATATTTGGAGTATTCGAATAGTTGAAGAGCTGTAACTTATTCGAAGGAAAAAGAAGAAGAATAAACTCATTAAGAGTTTAGTTTTAACGATTTGTTTTTCTTTTTTTATCTTTACTCGATACAGGAATATACAGACTTACGTAGGATATTGAAAGAAACTGTTAAAATACAATACATAAGAATTTAACAGAAAAATTAACATAGACACGAATCCAAGTAATAAGGAGATTTATTCGTATTTGTAAATAACGTTGGTAACGTTGGAACTGTAGTATCTGTAAAAAAGGGAAAAAGGAAATAAAATAAAATAAAATAATATAGATTGTGTCCTGTTCTATCATACAAAAATGTGTATTTCTTTCGACCATCTTATATTCATTTCTCGCATATGTACATGTTACACATACACATACATATGTATATTATGTTTTATACATGTAAATATATGTATTTAGGATTTCTTAAAACTAAATTAAGAATTGTTTATGGATTCACTTAGGACATGCAATTTCTTGGAAGAGATGCCTAACCGTGTCTTTAGCGGAGGAACCAAAAAAGCCAGTGGTAATAACAGAAATACCAGGACCTCGATCACGTAGTTTATTCCAAGAACTCAATTCGATACAAGTACGTTTTGTCGATTTTAAAAATTCTTCAGATATCAAGTATTTTTAATTAAGTGACTTACAAAGAAGACATCAAATCTTTTTTTTTATTCAATTACTATTATTTATTTTTACTTAATTTGTTGGAGAGAACCTATGTACAACAACAACAACAACAACAACAACAACATATTACATACATATATATGTATGTATGTACATATGTATATAGGTATGCGCCTTGCACATTTGAAGTGAAATTGTTCATACGGATACTTCATATGTGACTCCAACATAATATGTTTAATACATGTCAAACATATATTTTTTAGAAACAGATCTAACAAATTATTATATTTGAGTAATAAAATGATTCGTACGTTATTTGTAACATTTAGTCTTCTCTAAATATGTATACTAGAGATGAAATGGGTTACATGTTGAAATCTGTGACTGCAGCAAGCTTCTTCCGTACAATTCTTCGCAGACTACGAAAAATCAGTAGGTAACTATATCATGGACATCGATGGGAACGCTTTGCTCGATGTTTATATGCAAATTTCATCGATGCCCCTCGGCTACAATCATCCGGCTATGTTAAAAGCTCTGGCAGATCCGGTTAATCAGGTAAACAAAAACAGGTCTTTAAACTTCTTTCGTTCCAACTCAAAATACAATATTTACTACATTATTTTATTACATTAATACGATCGAATGAAAATCACAAATTTACACGTAGAAATTTAAACATACAGAACGAATTAAATAATAAAAGCATCGGTTAATAAGTCAATAAGCAGATTGTTGAAATATTATCTACATCTGTATATACGTATACGTATAATCGCGTAATCATAAAATCATACATACGTAGTATGTACATATCGCACGTCAAATAACAAATATATATCGATTTACATTTTCATCAGAAAATTATAGCAAATAGGCCTGCGTTAGGTGTTTTTCCTGGAAAAGATTGGCCAGATAAGTTGAAGAAAATTTTGCTACATAAAGAGGTACGTATGTAACGTACTTATCTTTTAGCTCATCAAAGTATACGATTATGATTGTACGTCTTGTACAACAGATATATTTATTACGTACAAACAGATTGCTCCACCAGGATTATCTCACATCACGACTATGATGTGTGGTTCTTGTTCAAACGAGAATGCATTTAAGACAATTTTTATTTGGTATGCTGAAAAACAAAGGAACGGTGCTCCATTTACGAAAGAAGAAATGGAAAGTTGTATGACGAATCAAGTTCCTGGTACTCCGCGATTTTCGATACTCTCGTTCAACGGTAAATTCACGAGCATGTAAATTGTTCGCATAGTGTTGGATTCTAGATTTTCATTTCATTGAATCAATTGGTCAAAAAAATAATGACATTGATAATAGGTGCATTTCATGGACGAACATTGGGATCTCTTTCGACGACACACAGCAAATACATTCATAAAATAGATATTCCAGCGTTTGATTGGCCCACTGCGTCATTTCCTGCTTACAAGTATCCCTTGAACGAACATATTCGAGAGAATCAGCAAGAAGATGAACGATGTTTAGCCCAAGTGAGCATTTAATCGTCGTTCTGTTTGCGTTCCAATGAACGTTTTTAACATATTGCAAATATCGTTAATTTCGTTACTTTACTAACTAACTACTTTATTATCAGGTAGAGGAGTTATTCGAAACGTATAAAACTGAGAAGAAAATGCCAGTTGCTGGTGTAATTGCTGAACCAATTCAAGCGGAAGGTGGTGATAATCACGCGTCTCCTGAATTTTTTCAACAATTACAGCGTATAACGAAAAAAGTACTAGTTGATTAGTAAATCTAAGTACTAAACTAGTTGAAAGTAGATTATCTGTTACATGCATATTACTTGGAACTTGGAAATATATATCATGCATTGTTTCAGCATGACGCGGCATTGTTAATCGACGAGGTACAAACTGGAGGCGGTCCAACAGGAAAAATGTGGTGTCACGAACATTTTAATTTAGATTCTCCTCCAGATTTAGTGACCTTTAGCAAAAAAATGCAATTGGGTGGCTATTATCACGTCGAATCCTTAAGGTAGGTAAACTTCTTCCTAAAACGTGTTTGTTATTTTAAAAGATTCGCCGTCTCTTCCGTTAAACAGTCACACATTTACGCACTTTACAGACCTAAGCAATCTTATCGCGTGTTCAACACCTGGATGGGAGATCCTAGTAAAATAATATTACTCGAAGCGGTATTAGATACGATAAGGAAGGAAAATCTTTTGCACAGAGTTACCACCGTTGGCGATTACATGTTGAAGCAATTGACCAGCTTACAAAATGAATTTTCCACCATCATCAATTCGATACGCGGACGTGGAACGTTTATTGCATTTAACTGCGTCTCGCCGGAACTACGAGATGCCATCATTAAGAAACTTTTAAGCAAAGGTATATAATATTTATCCAACTAATATTTATCCACCGATTACCAATCGCAGTTTCTCCAAAACCCTATCGTTTATTTACAATTAGAGTAGTTAACGATTAACATACGTATGTAATAAAATATAACAGAGACTATTAACTATCAATGAACAGGTATTCAAGCCGGTGGCTGTGGAACTGCGGCAATAAGATTAAGACCTGCCTTGACATTTACGGAACAACACGCAAATATATTCTTGGATACTCTTCGATCTATATTAAAACAATAATAGTTTTAAAGAAATGATCCTATGGTTTTAAAGAAATGATCCTTCGGGGCTTCCCTAAAATCAAGTCTTCCATAAAAAGAGATTATATACATACATACATACATACATATAATCGTATGAAATTTATATTCCATATTGTTGTATTATTTTTCTATAATAATTTTAACGGCTCGTATAATACATGAAACATGATATAATCAATGTATAAATATTATTTATATGTAAAAAGCTTGACAATATCATAACATAATTCAATTCAATGCAATGCATTCTTCATGGTATTCTGACATATTGATGATATATATATATATATATATATATATATATATATATATATATATATATATATGTATACAAATCATATTTGCATTGTACCTCTGATGTGCCAAAAAATGTTTGCCATTTGTTCGGCCTTACCGAATACAATGGGGATGAAATTCGTACCGCGAAGGACAAACTCATCGAGCCAGGGAAAGCAATTTTCTAATTTCTAATTTCTCGATGGCAAGGATGATCTCCCGTGATCATATTTCATGTCCTTTGTCACTTTCTATCTTCCATTGTAGTCATATCGGACTATCAATTCCAAGGCTCAGTAAGTTTCTTCATCGCAATGATCCCCATCACAAACGAACTCGAAAAAGAGATGCGAAAAATAATTTCATCGAACCAAGAATAAAACTTTCAGATTTACTATTTTCTCCACGGCAGGAATTTCCCTTGACCGTACTTTATGTTTCTTCCTTACTTTTATTTCATTGTAGTCATACCCGACTCTCGATTCTATGGCTTGGTAAATGTCTTTATCGCAACTTTTCTACGACATATTTCCATAAATCCAAGACATATTGCGAGGAATACATCCTGGGTCCATTAGAAAGTGCAAATACTATTTTCTAGGGATCGACCTCGCTCACATCGGGAAGCAATTAGCATATCTCTCTAACTTCGTAACCGTAGAATCCACAGCTATTTAAGACTAACGCACAAGAAAAATAGACAGTTAATGTTTTTTGGCAATCGCGCAGCGAGCACAGAAGTTCCGGAACAAACCCATCGACGTACGACAGTTCACGGTTCGACTATCAAACTCACTCAAATCTTATCATTTCACGAATTCAAGCTCTCTCTTACGACAATTTACATTCCTCAATCATACCAATCCAATCCCAAAACAACTCTCCCTTGAACCAGCTGACTTTCATTAACGTTGAAAGACAGCAAGCCACCGATCTGCTCAACGCTTCGTATACGTCGAGGTCTGATCGGCACGCAACACCATTATTAAGCGATATTTAATGTACAATCAATACAAGTACGACTTAAAAAAAAAAAAAAAAAAGAGAAAAAATTAATTAAAGAGGTTTGACCCATTTTTTTGGCGTATATTTATCTATGCATTTCATCAATTTGCTTATAATTCCAATCTTTCGTGAATTACTTATGACGTTCACCAGTATATTTATTTCAACATCTTTTTCAATATGTCCCCAAAATGTTCATATTCTTTGTGGTGACTTTTTTGTACTATATAAGCTATCATTTTCATCTAAAATAAAAGAAATAACTTTAATTTTATTTATTCAAAATATCGCTTACAAAGTGATCGTATCGTGACCTTTTACCTTTACTTTTGAATCTACGAAACCATGTCGTACAGATAAATTCCATAAATTCACAGCTATATGTGCTAATTGTGGATCGCGTAAATCTGCTCTAATAACGAAACAATTAAAAAGTTCTGCTGCAAGCGCCACTTGCTTTTCCAATTGATCGGTAGAACCAAGATATTTCAAATGGGATAAAATTTCTTCTACGATTTTCGAACTTATTTTGTTTACTTCGTTTATAAATTTTTGATCAGATCCATATAATTTGTCATTAGAATCAACCTAAATATAAGAAATACTCCAATACTATTGCAACACTTCAAATTTCTTTTATGTACATTCATTTTTATTCAACATACCTTCTCAACGTGATACGGATAATTTTCTTGGACAATTGCTGACAATAAATCAAGCACGCGCAAATATAAATACGTTTTCATCGACGTGTTTTCTTCGAAACATCGTTGAACAGCGTTAAGTAAGCCTCGCATTAAATATAAAACTCCATGTTCCGGACTATCCTGTAATTTGTTGTAACCTTTCGTTATCATAACATTTCAATTCTATATTACAAGTCTACAATGAAATCAAATCTGGTACTACTTGCAAATACATACCGGTACAATGAGCAACGTTGACAAAAAGTTCGATAAATATGAAAGTAAATAAGGTTGTGAACTTTTCTGTCTTCCATCTATATCTATCGTTTTGGGCATTTCCGGAACTAAACTCAAGGCAGCCTTAAAACATGCATCAGCTAACAAAATAATTTTTAGTTAGTTGTGTAATTTCAGTGAATACAATAAATGTTGAATTTTAATCAATTACCTTGCCCCAAGCACTGATTTAAAAGGGCAACTTGGCCTGAGAGTAAGTATAACTGTAACCGTGTATAAACTAAAGTCAACGATGGAATGGTAATAAAACAAAATGCAGCGCAAGCACGTACAAACGCCGACGTCCTTCTTGTGTGATGTCCACGAACAATTTTTCGAGTATCGACTGATAATCTATTTACACACTACATACATTAAGAAAAATTTTAATTATATATTTCCTAAATATAATGCTCATTTCATATTAAGCACGTAATTAAGGAGCAATTACTTGTACAAGTTGTATATGAACACTATCGAGATTGGGAAAGGCTGCCCTAGCTTCAACATAAAAATTAAGTTGTTTCTCAAAATCACGACCATAATCAACACGTTGAACTAAACCGCATATAAGTTGACCAATTTGACGTTTTTCATCTTCAACAGTCAGAGCACTGAAATTACCTTGAAATTATCAGGTTATACGCATATGTGTCAATACGTTCGTATACTACGGGTATATAAACATATAAACATATGCTTAAAAAAAAAAAACAAGGAAATTACCTAACAGAATCGTGCATTATTCTAGCAATGAACATGAGAGCATTTATAATAATAGGATCGGTAATTGGACTGGTTTGAACGCTTATACCTTCTATGACAGTCTTACACACTTCAACTTTAATGCTTTCTTTATGAAACAAATCTATTAGAGGTAAAAAATTATCCTGAAAAATATATGTTATTTGAAAAGGGAAGGAAAAAAATTAAAATTGTAAGTAAGAACAGATAAGAAACAATTACCATAGCAAGTAACGATTCAAAATCTTGTGTGTGAGATACTACTTTTTCAATAATATTTTGTAACTGTGGGTAATACTGTTCGAAATTCTTGTTTGGATTAAGTCGATCGATTATTTTTCCAAAGAATAAATTCAATTCATTGACCTGTAACACACACAGAATTTTAAGAAATAAATATTTTTTGTTACGAGAATTTTAAACTTACAGAAAAGTGAATAGCAGTGAATTGAATCCAAATCTCAATACAGTGCATAAATTTGGTAGGATTTGTTAACTCTGTCATATATTTCCAGATCGTATTGAGAATTGATTGACAATCTTCTTTTGGTGGTGATTCTAACACAAGACTTTCACCTAAATTTCGGTATAACAGATACTGTGGAAAACCTAAAAGTATTAATACATACGTACACAATTTACAAATTTTAAATTGATTTAATCATTCGCTGCAACATCGTTAAATTACCATCATCTTCGATCGTAGTTATTAAATTTACAAAATCCATTGCACGCTCTCCAATGTACGAGGGTTTAAATGCTGTTAAAATACTATTCAATAATAATGAACTAAAAAAAAAAGAAAAAAAAAAAGAACTATATATACTTCCATATTTTAATCTCATAAAAATTAGCGTTTGTGAAGTAAGAATTATATGTAATATAAAATCATTAAATACACACACACATAATTACCTATTTGCTTGGTTTTTGCACCGAAAGAGTACATCTTCTAAAAGATTCTCACAAGTTGTAGCTACCAATACTTGCAAAATCCAATCCAAAGCTGGCGAATAAAGGTTTAAATAAGAATATACGGTCATATTTTGTTCAATTAATTCATTTTTCACGAATTGACCAAACAGCTGTTGATACGTAAAGAGAAAGTCGTAAAAGTTCTCCCTTACAAATTCAAAATCAGATGTCTTATTTAATGCTAATCCCACTCGGCATAAATAACATCTGGCATATACAGCTATGAGAGGATTTCCAATACCTCTAATCATTCGCGTTATTCGTAGCAAAGCTGTATTAAATTCACTAAAAATAACACTATTTTTAACCGACACTAATATCATGTGTATAATTACATAAAAAATATTACATAATATTATATAATTATGATATTATATAATATTTTTAGTATAATTATACATACTGTACTGTATGGTAATTATAGTATATAATTATACAAAAAACATTTACATTTTTACCTTGCTGTTAAAAAACTGTAAGACTTTATTATTGCCATTTCTACATAGAGACGTGGAACTAATTCCCTTATCGATGCTATTTTGTAAAACCAATTCCTGCAAGTTTCTTTCGCATTTTCAGGTACCATGTCAGGTGTGAAATTATCAGGTAAACTTGTGGGCATTTTATTTCCTGGTCTTGGAAATATGAAAATATTAATGGTACATTTTTTCCCTTTTAGCAATTTTTTTTTTTTAAATAAGCAAATAAATAAAATTAAAAATCAGTATTTTATTCTGCGAAATTGAAAAACTAAATTAACAATTAAAATTTACTTTCTAATTGATTTTTGCATAGTAACAAGACCAAAACTGTCTTTAAACTGATAGCTTTCTGTCATATGGAAGTAGTCAAAATGAATTCACTTTCTTAAATCACATGGATAAATGAACTATAGTAATAAATAATATGATATAACGTGGTTATACTAACTTGTAATATTCAGCTTTAACCTTTAGCCTTTCATAAACCAATTTTCCAAAAATGTCTAAAATATCTGTGATAAGAACAAACTTGCCAGGATAAAAAGCCATAACAGATGTATCTACTAATAATTTGGCACACTAAAATAATTTAGCATTAATTTACAATTTTTTTTTTTCCCTTGGAATTTAATTAATAATGAAAAGGTAAAAATGAAAACCTGAATTGCAATTTTAAGTGCTTTAACTCTTTGATCAGAATGCCAGGCTTGTACAAGTTCATTATTTAATTGCTCAACTCTTGCGGTATATTGTTGTTGGGATAAATCTAACATTTGTCTAATCGATCCTTCTTCAAAATCATCCAACTGTTCCAATCTTGTTCGTACTTTATCCACAACTCCACCACTTGGTTGAACTTTAACAATAACTGTAACATACTTAAGTTTCTATTTGTACTTTATTTGCTTTTCTAATATCGTTTGTTAGAAAAAAATACCTTTTTCACCGCCTGGTAAGAAACTAGTAACTATCGACAACTTTTCCGATGTTGTGTATTTATTTAATATCGTAGTACGCCTTGCTAACCATGGTTCTACTAATTCTTCTGCAGTATCCATAGATTTTTTACCAGTAACTACTGTATTGCAAGAGTAATCCCACTGCATTATATTTCAAAATATAAATAATACTTAATGCAAGGGATTATAAATTTCTCTCTAATTTTCTCTTTTATATTTGAAAGAAAATATAATTTACAAACCTCATCTGCAGCCATTTTAGACAATGGATCTAATTCTTCCTTAGCAAATTGCGAGAGGGGATCTGAACCATCAAAAGAACAGTGACTTAATAATGGATCTGTTAAAGAACTACCTGGAACAGATGTGTGAGTTGGTGTTGAGGTGGCAGTTGAAGAACCAGTGCTCGTGCTTCGTAACACATTACGTTTCATCCCACTGCGTCCATCAACTAACTAGAAACAGATAATTTACAATATAGTGACATTTTTTGTATATATTAGACATATAATATATATTAAATTGTATATGATAAAGTAATTGTATTAATAATTGAACTTTATACTGTATAGAATTACCATAATCATAACAGGTTTTAAGGGATGCTCTGTTACTTCTTCCAAAGATGCAAATTGTATTGTTTGATAATTCATAGATTTGGCAATCCTACAAGAAAATTAATACCTTAGAAATTTCTATTAATTAGAAATGACGTAATAAACATTAGAGTAGCATACCAATTTATTTCTGCCATTTTTTAAACACATTAATATATTTGTATAACTCAATTAGAATAAAACGATATATGTATATTAATTTATAAATTATCACATATCATGTAAATGTATCTATTCACCGTTGCATAATTAGATTTGACATTTAAAACATCTATTATAAAATATAAAGATAATTTCTGCTAAAATTTCACACGTAACATTAAAGGAGCATATTCATTCGCGTCATAACGTGTAACAAGCGCTACATGAAAAGTCTCTAACGATAGAGTATCCCATTCTTATATTTATATTATTATATATTATATTTAAATTGCACTATTAGTAACTACACATTTTTTGCGAATAGTTCTGAATTTGACGTTATCAACATGTAAGATCAAAATTCGTATTAATATCGTGAATAAATCGATCAATCGTAGAATTACGGTCATAGATAAAGAACACAATAGACATTCCTTACGATTTTGACTTAATATATATAGCATTGATTTTAATAAAAATCAAATTTTTCTATGAAATTACAAATAAAAGATACAAAAGATCCTTCTTCTAAAGGTTATTTTCGTATAAAATAAATTTTTAAATTTTCAAAATTCAAAATCCACCCAGATCGGAGGAGACAGATTTACCGCATTATAATCAATCACATATTACTACGTCTCCCTCTGAAGGGAATTATCTCGTCACACCAAATAATTTTCTAGCGGGATATTTGAAACGACAGTCGACAATCATTCTAGAAGTTTTATAAATAATTGTATAATTTTATAATATAATAATTGTATAATTTTAATATTTTATAACACAAGATCTTCATAAATATAATTGACTTCAAATTTTTATTTTCAGTAATTAAACGAAAAGTTTAAAAGATATGGATATTCTTGTCAGAATTAATACCAATCTTTGTTCGGACAGAAACATAATTATCTACTTACTTTAATTATCAATTAAATTATAGTGATTTATATATAAAATATATTTTGATAATTTTATTGTTAATAGATACTTTCATTCGTTTATTGATTAACTCTTTTTTTTAAACCAACAAAAGTCAAAGTATAATCATGAGAACCCCGGCGTAAAAGTAAAGATTTCAAAATCCTAGAGTTGTGGTACCACTGATTCGCACAAGTAAATAGACTTGTAACATTCTAAGTTTACTTCAGAGAGGATACGCGAGTAACAGGCGGAAAGTTGAATGATTTTTATAAATTTTTTTTTTTCTAGAAAATTACCAACAATAAAAAAACAATATTTCGCTAATTCAATGATATATTCATAAATTAAAGAAAAAAAATTATACGCATCAATCTTTTTTACATAATTACAGACTTTCAGAGAGAGCCTTCGTTTGTTCATAAATTGTTTTTCAATAAAAAAATATACCTTCGTATGATATTTTAAACGAGCAGGAAACAATGCTAAAAGAGAGGATCGAATTGGTAGATAAATTATTAATGTTACGCGGATTAAAAATTGGATTTTAAATTTTGGAATACAAGATGTAATAATTCTGTTGAAAATGAAGTAACATATTCAAAGTAATTTACACTAATCTAATGTTTCACATTGAAACAACAAACTGCTTAATCACAGCTAATAAGTATCATCGGTAATGTGTCAACGTAATGTATCTGAACGTATTTCGAATAAAATCCTTACACTCTTACGCTCTTCTCTTCAAATAAAACAATTTTGATACATTAGTTTTTATAATTTATCGAGATACACAATCATTTATACGCAGTTTAGTCCATAAAATAAAATATTCTTGCATTATTATGTATTTAGTTATCGTTTACTAAAAGTCTGTATGCAAAGCTTGCAAGTATTCTCATATTTTGAATTCAAACAGCCACTGCAACTGTATCCTCCGAAGCGACATCTACGAAAAAAATCGCAGTGTTTGACATTACCATCGCAGTTACAATCCTGTAGAAATATGAAATAAAAAAGTAAATACAGATATTACACAATTACAACAATATATAGGTATGTCTGTAACACATGTATTCACGGGCATGTGTGTACTTGCACGTACCTGAACAAATTTCGCTGTAACCGTGTTCCGTGCGACTTGTACAATGAGCATCACACATTAAATTAATGAAACATTCAGCATTTAACACATCATATTAATAAAACATATTTTTCGTACTTGCCGCAAGAATCATATTCATAAGTACCGTCTCCTGTTACGGTCTTGTAAGTAAAGACTCCAATTGAAATTTAATCAGTCGTCTGATAGCATTTATCTAAAAATATTCACATATAGACTGTAATTTTTACATGATATTTAATGTAACAAATTGACTAAATTTTGTCAAGTATATCTTTTAAAATTTATACATAGTTACTACAATTTACAAGTTATTACCCTCTGTTATAAATAGGATGCACGTAAAATATGTTACATTGACATATGACAACTTTTTATCTCCTCCTCTGTAATTTGAGTGTTCAAAAAAATACAACCCAGAATTTGTACAACAGTATCCAAACCATGATGATGCTGCATACTCAAATGCATCTCTAGATGCTTGACAATTACACATACCTGTTTCTCTAACAGTAAGTATTATTTGGTGTCTTTACTTTTATAAGCTTTGGTGGATTGTAAGAGTAAATTACTGATTTCTTTTATTCCTTTAATGTCAATTTTTGGTTATCCTCGTGTTATTTTATTATTAGTTCTTTTTGAGAGTAGCTACATTTTTTCAAAAAAGAAATATTTTTCTTTCGCACTACACTGGAAAAGATATCATAAAGTGAGCTTATTAGTGCAAACATTGACTTGTGAAGAATGATTAATAGGTTAAATGGAAGATTCTTGTATTAATGTGAAACTCTTTTCGTTAGAATAATTACCTATTAGCAACAGCTACTGGTGTCAAGGAGCTTGGCGACACTTGCATCAACATTTTTTTCTTATTGTTCGTACCAAATCGTTCAATGCACATGTATATAACGACAACATGACATTTTGACAGTTTAAAAATGGGAAATAATTACGAACAATCAATATTGGAAACCTACTAGTAAAAAATGTGCCTGTGAATAGTGTCTCACCCGTACGGGAATTATATCGTCACGTCAAATTATTTTCTGGCGGGATATTTGAAAATATTATTAAATTATTTGAAATTATTATTTAATTTATCAAGATACACAAACATTTATACGCAATATTGTATTGTAAAATAAAATATCCCTGCAAAATAAAAAAGAGAGAAAATCTTCCAGTCGATAATAAATGTTCCCTGTCGGTAACGTGAAAAAAAGAAAAAAATGAAGCAAAAAGAGTGTAACGCAAAGAGAAATAACGCGAAAAAGACATAATAAAAATAGCAGAAAAAATAATGTAAAATGAAAAAACAATCTCCCAGTCGATAATGAAGAATAAATGTTCCTTGTCGGTAACGAAAAAAAAGAAATAAATAAAAAAGAAAGAAAAGTAACGCAATGAGAAATAACACGAAAAAGAAACAACATAGGAAAAAACAATACAAAATAAAATAAAGAATCTCCCAGTCGATAACGAAAAATAGAATTTCCCAGTTGGTAACGAAAAAGAGAAAATATGGCAAAAAGTGAGCAATACAAAGAAAAATAACGTGAAGAAAACATATCGTAAAATAAAAAAAAAAAAAACGCGTTTTTATGTAATTACTGTTTTTCAGAGAGTGCCATCGTTTATTTATAAATTGCATTTCAATAAAAAACAAATGTTTGTTATATTTTACAGTTTAGTATTATATTTAATAAGAGCGACTGTCGTCAAGGAACTTG